AACCCAACTTTGATGGAAGATCCTGCCCAAACTAATAAAGATTTCAAAAAACGAAAAACACTTTGCAAAACTACAGATCATGGCCTTTCTTTTGACACTTTAACCATTAAAATCGGTCGAAAATTGAGGGAGGAGTTCTGTTTACAAAAATCGGCTTAGCGTATTATATATATAGATGAGACCACCATAAGCTTCTTTTTAGAAATCCATTCAATGGTCTATTTCGGCCCTGTTTGAATAGATGGGCAGAAGGATTCAACAAGCAAATAAAGTCAAAAAGTGTACTAAATGTTGTTTAATATACTGCTAAGCGAACCCTATGATGGAGTCTTTGAACTCACTGAAGTACAAATTTCAGTTGATTTTAAGTCCCTTTCAAAGGTACTGACTGTAACACTCCTTTATAATCAATAATAATATGCAGTAGAAGAGAAGTATCCTCATCAACTACCCTAGGTTAATGTGTTTCTGTTGCAGATGTGAGCTGCTGCCCAAGCCTGCCACGTCTCGTAGCTGTGTGCAGGACTGTCCAGTACAATGTGAGGTCTCTCCTTGGTCGGAGTGGTCACCCTGTCCACCCCAGAACTGCCAACCTAGTATGTGTTGTGTAAAAATTCTTTGTAGATGTCTAAACCAACAATAGATCAGACACTATCAATTTATCATCCTCGTGGATCAGATAAAGATGCTTTTATATGGTATAGCCTCTCGATCACTGATTTTTACAGTAAAAGGTTTAATTTACATGTATCCCTCAAGTGATCCTAGATTGTAGTCCCGGCACCCAAACATCCAGTTGTCTTAAATTGCCTCACCCAAAGAGCTATGGAGTTCCAATGAGGTGTCCCCTTCCTAAATTTGGTCTGAAAGTCCGCAGAACTCTAACATCTGTACAAGCAAACTCTAAAAGACAAAATGCCTTTTCTTGTGTTTTAGTAGTCCTTTGTTAACTGACAGGTCTCATAGTATTTAACTAAGCAACTGAGACCAAACAACCTTGTCAAAACAAACTTTGAAATATAAACTTTACCATTTGTTTTAAAAAATCAGCTATCTAAAATCAGGAAACAGACGTACCAACCATTTAGTTTTGTGACATTCTTATTGGAGATGAGTGCAAATAACCCTGTGTTTCTGTCCGGTATAATGTAACTAGAGATTGTTATTTAAGGGATTTTTGCGGACAAAGTTTTTACATCGTGGATTACCTGGAATCTGATCCCGTACCTGGGTAAAGTATCGAGAAACATTAAAAAGTAAGAATGTATGTTTACAAACCTAGCCAACATTGGAAAATCACAAAAGAAAAACCAAACAGAGAACTTGATAGTGCCACCGTAATCAAAATTAAGAAAACAAACAAACCTGAAAGAAAACAATAATTAGTACACCTTGAGAGTAGAAGCCCACAATATTGTCTGCACATGATGGTAGCTCAAGCTATAGCCTACACTGTATTTTTCCTTTAAGGTTTAACAAAACAAATTTCAAACTTTAATAATGCTATAGTCCTCGCCACCCTAAGTTGAGGCAGCCCAAGGCCGCATGGCGTGTATCTAGTGCGGCCTTTGGCTGCCTCAACTTAGGGTGGCGAGGACTATAGAGAACGCATGGTGTGAGCGACGGGTGGTCACATTTGGTTCCTACACTTGGTGTATTGCCTGCAGATGGTACGAGAGCAGGACCGACCCAACAGTCGCGCTATCGAGTGGTGGTGGAAGGCTCGGACTGTGGACCTCTGGAGGAGACCAGGGAGTGTTTCACCCCCAGTGAGCCATGCCCTAGACACCAGTGGGGCACAGGAGAGTGGAGCCAGTGTCAGGTGGCTCATGATGTCCGCTGTGGCCATGGGCTGAGGACTAGGGGTATGTATCGTCGCTTGCAAGAGTCACTATAAGTCATTAGTACATAAGCATACATAAGTATTTACTTCTTTCTTCTTCCAACGCATGGAAATGTTCACTTTGCCACATCTGCAAAATTATGCTTTAGAATCACACAATGTTGGAATGGAACAAAACTAAAGTGTATAATGATAATGATTTTTTTCAAGACTATCAGAAGAGCCTGACAAAAAAAAGTCTATGTTGTACCATGTATCAGAAGCTGCCAGTGCACTGGTAAATAACAGTTGGTTCTGATTGCAGACTTGTGGTGCAATGAGGAAGGTACAGATCGCAAGGTGGAGCTCCGCTTCTGTCTTGCCACTCGGGCGCCGCTGCCTGTCACTGTGCAGCGTTGCCACATGGACTGTCACGTACCATGTCAGCTGACTGAGTGGTCCTCGTGGAGCCTGTGTCAGCAGCCTTGCTCCGGAAAACGCTCCCGGACCAGACAACTTATCGGTAGGATACTGTGTCTTCACCAACTCTGGAGTTGACGAGTTTTAGTTCATTTTAGTGTTTGGATTTGTAAATGTAGTAAATACTCGTATGGGAAGGTAGTCTAAAAGTTTAATCCTTTGAGATCCAAAGACTGGATTTCGACACTGGAGATTGGATTCGAGCATACTTAACCAAAGCTTTCTTTACAACTATTTGGCTTTCTTAAAGATATCATCAATCACTTTGGTTATGCGCAGCCACAAGTAAATGTCCTTAACTTTTGTAACTCTCAGAAAAGACTTATAGATGCAACACATTCTGGTTTTGCAAATTTGATCTTGATCTTGTACCATTACTCCATTACTCACACGTACTTTTTTCATTTTTACATAAACTTTTATTCATTGCCATCTGTCATTTGGTGTTTTTATTTGAGGTTAGCCTCTTAAACAACAAAAATGTTAATAAAGACTGCAATGTGTAATTGGCCGTGGGTTATATTTGAGTTAGATTGCTCTATCAGGCGGAAGCTCTTTGGAGATCTAATATCACAGACATCCCTTGTATTGCCCTATTTTTTCCTCATAGATTTGCTGACTACCATTTATTTTACTATTTTAAATCTCCTCCCTTTCTTTAAAAAAAAAAAAATATTAATTGACAACATTGTAAACTAATTAAAACCCAAAACTGTAGTAACATTTGCCTAGTGTGATTGTAGCAATTGCATTATTCCCACTTTACCCACAGGTCTGTCAGAAGCACATGCTGTCTGTCAAGAGATGCCTCTGGTGGAGACAAAACCTTGTCCTTGTGAGATGTACTACTCTCGTCCCATCTCTAATTGGTCAAGTTGTCTGACCAATGGCAGTGAGGGGTGTGGCCTCGGCACACGGTACCGAGCTGTCGGCTGCTACAATGACAAGGATCAGATGGTGGACCCAAGGTGAGAAAGTAAAGTGTAAATTTGGACCATTAATAGCATTAAAACTCCTGTTCCCTAGTTAAGAGTCCTTGAAGCCTAGACATTCTAACTCATAAAACAATTAAAAAAACTACAAAGAAAATTTATAATCGCACAAGTGCACTAGATATTTAAATTACAACCACTTTGGTATTCCAAAAAAATATTTTGAGATGGTAAATAACTCTTCAGGGGCTGTTTGAAATTGTCAAAATTAACATTGCTTTTGTAGCGAGAAAATCCAAGATGGCCTTTATCTTCCATGGACTTCCTTTCCCTTTGAAAACAAATCAAAACTACATTTAAAATGGCAAATCCCACGACCCACAGCGTATATATTTTAATTAAAACCACTATGTTTAAAAAAATATATCTTTGGAGTAAATTAAAGTAATGTTTGTGTTTCTTGTGCCTGAGTGGACTCTTTCATATTCATGTAATCCTGCTATCCTCATAAAAACTCTTGCTGGTTTGTTACAGCATGTGTGGAGGAGGCTCTGGACTACAAGAGGAGCCCTGCCTGGTGCCTTGTCCTTTAGACTGCCAGTTGACTGAGTGGTCGGCCTGGGGAGACTGCAACGTCAGGTGTGGCCCCGGGCTGCAGAACCGCACAAGACAGGTAAAGTATGACGATCGTGTAGAGGACTGTAGCCTTAAGTACCCACATTGTGGGCCATTTGGGTTACCCCAATTCCTTCAGAGACGGTCAAACTTAAAGTACTTCATTAACTGTTGCGTTCTGCCCATGAGGTTTTGCATCCCAGAGATTTCCTAGTTAGGAAGGGGTTGCTGTTGCTAAAGTCGGTTGTATAAGTGGGTTGTTGGTTGTTGTTGAAACCAAAAATCTAAATGAAAAGCCGGTTTCAGTTTAATGGTTATTGTTCAATAATACTGCCTGCAGTTAGGAGGACTAAAAGGTTTATCAGATGTTTGTTTACACCCATTAGCAGTCACAACCAGAACCAAATCATGACAATAATAATCATGTTGTCGTTCTCAAAGTCAAGGTTCAAGTACTTCCAAGTACACGTTGAGTCAAAAGTTGAGTTCATAAAGCTTTATCACTTTGATTGCTATTCACTTTTATTCCTTTACGACTTCCATTATTTAATACTAAGGTAGCTATGATAATTTTGTTGGCCAATGTGATCTGAAGCTAATATTGAGCACATAGTTTTCCACCTCAATGTACCTTTTATCCTAAATACCTATGGCTGGGAGAGAAAAATAAATTCACTAAGTGGTGAGAATGAAATAAGCTAAGCATATGATCAGCCAAGCTTAGCTAACACTCTCATATTTTGCTACAAAACCATGTTCTTTGATGTGATAGGTGGCACAACCTGGTAATGCAGGGGGTAGACAGTGTGGACCACAGACCCAGTGGAAGCTGTGCCAGGTGCCGTGTGAAGTGTTCCAGTGGCAGGTGGGAGGATGGAGTGAGTGTATCCTGATACCAGCCGACCGCAAGCAAGGATGTGGCACAGGAGACCAGTACCGTCAAGTCAGGTCTGACCATCATCATTTGTGGTGTTACTAGTACACAGAATTTTTGTTGTGTCAACCATGTGATCAGTTTGAGATTGCTACCAGACGTTTCACACTTTTGAGGAATCCTCAGTGGCTAGGTTGAAACTGGAAGAAAAGCCAGTTGAGCGGTTTTATGCCTCTTGAAAGGAAGGGTCTAAAACCAATATCAAAATAAGATGAAATTGAGGTAAAAAACAAAAAAGCACATTGTGAATTCTAAGTTCTAATAATCATGTAATAATAATAAGTTTATAATAAGCATAATAACAAGAAGCATACTTGCTAGAGCCTTTTGTTTCACTTTAATGTTATTAAATTAATGAAAAGTTAAAAATACTTGTAATATTGACGAGTAGTCCTGGTCTTCTCATTTCAATATGCTTGGCTATTCTCAACATTATGTCCTTTGACAGGTGTATTGACACTCGGACAGACACACCTGTGGATGACGAGTACTGTGATTGGACAACACAGCCAGTGGACATCAACGCTTGCCATGTAGCCTGTCCAGGCGACTGTGTTCTCAGCGCTTGGTCGGAGTGGAGCTCATGTCCTAAGGTAATCCAACAGCTTTTCTATAATGTGTTGTATGCTCAAAGGGAAACCTTTGATGTTGTTGTATTGTTGCAAACCCTGGGTAGGAGTAGGGTTTAGAGTTTTCTGGGAAGTCACAAGAGATCATGCCACCGGTTGAAAATCAGAAATGATGCCCATGAGGGGGGGGGCCCAAGCTTACATGTGCGTAGGGGCCGCTGAGGTCATAATCCGCCACTGCCAAAAGGAAACTTAAAACATACAACTTTTGAAACATTTTGTATTTTCAATGTCTCCAGGGTTGTGTGGGTAACGGACAGCAGCAACGGACACGCTCCCTGCTACGTGCTGCCGCCACCAGGGGAGCTACCTGTCAGCATACAATACAGACTCAGGCTTGCCAACTGAACATCACCTGTTTCACCTACCATTGGGTGGTGACCAACTTCAGCTCCTGTCTACCCCTGGGTGGCAGCCCCTGTGGTGAGGGGATGACAACCAGAGCCATCTACTGTCAGAGGAGTGACTCTAGGCCTGTGGAGGACAGGTGAGGACGGACAATATTCTTCATTGACATTGACATATCATTGGAGAACAGTATAATATCTGGTCCACATGGAAGCAGATAACTAGAGGTGTTCCTCTAGGATCTGTTTTTGGTGTTTTTGTTCTGAATTTACATCAATGAAATCACAGATCATATCACTAACTCACACTACCATCTGTATGCTGACAATTTACTCCCACTTCAATGTAGAGTTGGATACTGCTGTGCGACTCATGAACTTTGACATTGAATCAATAACTCACTGGGCCACAAACAACAGACTTAAACTCAACATTGACAAAATTCAAGCAATGATTGTTGGCCACCTAAACTAATGACTAAAATCAACTTACCCACTGCACCACAACTTAGATTTGATGAACTTTGGTTAAGTGGTATAGAGAGGACTTGCAAGTCCTAACTTTTCCTATCAAAGACATTTTTCATTTCATTACTATACGTCAAAAAATGGTTGGTTCAATACAATTTATTCCATGACATTTATTGCAGTGTAGTAAGCTGAGTATGATTTTCTTAAGTGTGTTTTTATCACTTTCACTTTCAAATTGATACTAATTTGGTTTTGAAATGTAGCTGGTGCAGTGAGGAGACCAAGCCGACCCCGGCAGAGAAGTGGTGTTACGTAGACTGTCCAGTGGACTGCCACGTGGCGGAGTGGAGTGAGTGGAATGCCACCCAGTGTCAATGCGGAGAGACAGGTCGGTGACTTTGAAACTCATAAATCATATTTAAACAATTAGATTTTAAGGACATGTACCCTGATGATTGTAATAAAATAGGTCCATCTTGGGGATGGAGCAGTTTGTTACCAAGCTTATTTTATTTAAATTTGTCTTAGTCCTTAGGACTTATTATTTAAATTTATTTAAATTGCACTGTAATTGAATAAAATGTTACAGTTTTAAATGATTCGATGTTTGGTAAGAGTAGTTTTGTTTAAATGTTTAAATTTTTTACCACAACTGTCATCAAACAATTCTGGTAATCATATGGGGATCTAAAGGTAATTAGGTACGAATTCACTATTAGTCAAATAGATTAGTATATACAGTACTGACCCCGGTGATAAGATAGAGTGCACAACCGAATTTTAAACACCAATGTCTGTGTTATTAGTGAAAGACACTACCAGATAGCTATCATTTTCAGTCAGTTTTACAAAATAGTAATCAAGCAAATTGACATACTGTAATGGGAAAGATGTATCGTGTCTTTGGCTTCCAAGCTTGAATGTTTCAAGTAAAGGAACCGATCCAACAAAAAATCAACAGATAGGTATCACATTATTTTTATTTTCCTCTTATATTAGTAGAGATTGTCTGTCTATTGACAGGTGTGAGTCGTCATGCTTTCATCTCCACCAACCCTTCGTCGTCTGGTCGCCCTTGTCCGTCACCCTTGGTACAGTGGAAGCCTTGCCCAGCCGTACCTTGCTACTCTTGGCAAACTGGACCCTGGTCTGAGTGTCAACTTCATGTGAGTTAAATATATCTGTAGTTGAGCCTCATGGGCATCGGTTTTATCACAGAAGTTTTATGTAATATATTTAAAACAATTTAGGATCAGGACCCAGTCAAATTTTAGAATATTATGGATTACGTTAGGTATTTTAATAGAAGTGTAAAGTAAAGTAACTTTGTTAACTAGAGAAAGTATTGCAAATTAACAATAGCCTGACTGTAAAAATGGAATATTAGTGCTGCCAAAACCGGTCCTGGGCGGGGAGAACTCCCTGCCTGTGGATCGATATCGGTACAAATTTCACGCACTATTTCATTTCATAACAGCTTTTATTATACGTCCATTATAATTATTAAAGACCACTTAGCTAATGTGTAACTTATTTTCATTTTTATCTTTTTAAGAGCTTTAATGTAAGCTTTCGTTGTTGTTTCTAACTTGTCCGGCGCTGAAATAAAATGCCTTTACAAAAACCATAAGAGAGTTTTTTTTTTATTGACGAAAAATTCTAAAAATTCTAAATATGCTTTATAAGTATATGTTCTAAAAGCTATTAAAATGTCATGACGATTAGATCAGTAGTTTTTTTTTATAAAATGTTAAAGTCGCCCATTTTTGGTAAAGCGCCAAAGAATCTGTACTTTTTTCATTCAACCCGCTGAAAGGATGAGTTGAAACTGCATAAAAAATGTAAAACCAACACACATATAAACGCAGGAATAAATTCGTAAAATTATGATGTAACTTGCATTTTTCTACGTCTACTTGTTACATTGCAATAAAAACTCAAACTCAAGTATCTATACTTTTTGACCCGACAGTAAAATTCCTATGTTATTATTATGGAAAATATTTAAAATGTTGTAGTTTGCTTGTTTATGGATATATTTTGATCAAACTTGGCAAATTTATATATTTTATATTCATACTAAGCTATAAATATTTTACTAAAAAACACACTTTTTTCCCTGTAGCAGCAATCCTAGGTACTCATTAAACCTAATGTTATAAAAAAAATTGAATTGAAAATCAATTCAGGCAAATGGTAATTCGATTGGACGGTAGGTTTGCTACAGAGGGGGTATTTTGGAAATAAAGTATACTTTGATTTGATTTGACGTTCCAAGAAGAAATTCTAAATCTTGGGTAAAAAATATATTTTTGAAAGAGAAAGAAATATACTAGTATTTATTTAACAAACAACTGTATAATTTCCTACTCTACACTTGTACTTTAGCATAAAATTAATTATTCATACAATTTAATTTTATTTATTTCATTTTTAATTTAGGGAGCAATGTGCGGCCATGGTGTGAGAAACCGTAATGTGACATGTGTCCGAGGAGGTGACAACAGCTCTGTGGAGGCATGGCACTGTGCTGGCTCGGCCAATCACAAGCCAGTGTCGTGGGAGACGTGTCACATCCCGTGTGACAGTGATTGTCAACTCAGCGAATGGTCACATTGGTCACACTGTCATGGCGACTGCCTCAAGGATACGACAGGTGATGAAAATGATCAATACATTAAGACAAACATGTTACTGTATCCATAATTCTTTAACAATATTTGTTGCTGTTTTAATCACCTACACTTCTATTCACCAGTTTTGGATCTCAGTTTTATTCCTGATCCGTTCTAATGTCTGTGCTCCTATACCCTCTTCCTCAATCCTCTCTTATCCACGTTTTTTTCTCATCATAAATCCACTTTCTTCTCGGTCATTTTCTTAGTCTCATTCGCTCTATCACCACAAACTCCTCTTCTCTATGAATCCTATTGTTTCTTATTCTTCCCACAAGCCCAACTTATTTTGTTTCTGCTTTTTCTACTTACTTTCTCTTAAGCAGGCATCAATTACTCCTTTTCTGATCTCTTCATTCCTATCTCTAAACCACATTAATTTTACTCTTATCCCTATAAATTTCACTTCCCAACTTGTATTTTGTTTCAAACACATTCGTGTAGATTTATTTATCTATTGAATACACGTCAGTACATCATAATAACAGGACACATTCTATAGTTTTCCTCATACAGTAGACTCCCTCTTATCCGGACTCCTCGGGACCAAGGCCAGTGCAGATAATGGGTTTTCCGCTTAACCGACATCCCCAAAAACTAGTTAAAACGGACCGTTTAAATCCATACTGTATACAGTATTTGACCTAAATTTAGGAAAGCATTGTATTTAGACACGTGATTACTGGTCTCAAATACTTATACTTTAATACTTTTCATTGAAATGGCTAAATCTTTCCCACGAGAACAGTTGTCGCAGTACCGCCCACTTCCTGCCAATCTAGTCTGGTTAAACCGATGTGCTGATAAAAATTGTCCGGTTAAAGAGATGTAATTCCTGCCGAGTGTAGTCCTGTTAAACCGATGTCCGGTTAAAAGGTGTCCGGATAGGAGGGAGTCTACTGTAAGTAAATATTGACCTTTTGTTATACATTGAACATTTTTCCATTGGATCTCAGTATCATTAAGTGCTTCACTGTTTGATAAAGCCCTGCACCTTTTCCCAATCTAGCTGTGCTCTCCTACTTCACCTTTAGCAAAGTTTTAAACTGCTCCTCCAAATTTGGCGTCTTCTTTTTTCCGATCAAACTTTGGTTGCTTCATCTTCCGATTCTTTCTGATCACCATTAACTCACTTTTTTCCTAATTTTTTTTTAATTTTCAAAAAAAAATTCTTCCTTTACAAGCTCTATCCAAACTCCCACCAGCCTAAGAACTTTTCTTACGGAAGCAAATAAAATGTTTCCATTATTGAGCTAAATAATTATTTTTAAAGATTGGGACGAGTTTCAATTTTGTTTACAATTTTTAAAAATATATACTCTAAGGGGATCTCTTACTTTCTAGGCTATGCTACCAGATCCAGAGCAGTTCTGAGGCCACCGCAGTCCAACGGAGGGGAGCCTTGTCCCGAGGCATTGTGGGAAACTCGAACCTGCGACCTCGGACCTTGCCTCACATTCTCATGGACAATTGCTCCTAACGGACAAATAGTCTGCCAACGCTCCGATGGACTACATGTCGTTGGTATGTATTGTTTCTTGTCGGTTTTGCTAAGACAAAGTTTTGTGGACTTACTTTTAAATTGTTTGTAAAAGTTTAAAGCAATTTTGGTTATGTTCAGTGGTCTATTTCTAAAATATGAGGTGTCATAACTGTAATTTATTGAACTATCATACAGAAAGTTTTTCAACTTACTGCAACTGACTTGGGAAAATCCAAAAATTTCTGCGGGCTTATTATTTAATTTCTTTTGTGGTCAGGCTGGTCTTTCTGCAGTCCTTGCTGTCTTTCTGTGACAATGTTGCACTGCCACCCGTAGTTCTGCTTTGAGAGCTATAAATTTTACTCTCCATCCTTTACTATACCTCAATTACTTCCTATTACAGACATTTGTTCAACAATATGCAACTTCAGTGTGTTTTTGAAAATCTTTTTAAAACTGTGTTAAATCTAAAAAAAAAATGTTTATATAAAAAAGTGGTTGAGAAACACTTTTCTAGAGTGTTCCATCCCTTAGTTGCCATGGGATGTATGGGTCATTAATTAACAGCTCTCTAAGGAACCTGTCAGCCTTAGTTAGTAACAAGACTACAAGATCGTGCCACTCATCCTACACTCATCCTACACTCATCTCCATTCATATGGCTTAAAATATCTACCTTCGTATGGTCACCATTTCATAAAAAATGTATGAAAGTTCTGTTCAAATCAAGCTTTTGTTAACCCTCCATTGGTGGGCACCGACACCACAGATTTTTCCTCCAGGCGCATTTGTTTTTATGGCAATTTAAGTTTTAGGAGTAACTGTACCTCATGTGCACCTTTCTAGGAACCGATTGAAGTTCTTCTTCTTCTTGACACTAAATTTTTTTTTTGCCTGCTTTAATTTCTGTCACACAAGATTCAAAGATTTTATCTTGATTAAGCGCCTGTAATGAACTTAGCATTATATTTTTGAATTCAATTTTTTCTGACACCAAAATTAATACCCCCCCTCCCCCGAAATCTGTTCTAGTGTACCAGGTCAATATCTTTTGGCAATATCTGTTGGCAATATCTTTCACAACATTAACCACATTTCATATGTGTTTTTAACTCAGGTGGATGTGACGGCAAGAAGAAGCCGACATTGTGTGAATGGAAGGGAGGCCGTTGCAACTGTATAGACGGAGCCGTTGTCCAACCTCAGTTTGCTTGTCTAGAGCAAGCTCAAGTGCAAGCTCGCCTGTATTACCCGAGTGAGTTTTTATTCTACCCTATGTTGTACCTCAATGGCAAAGAAGGGTCACACAAAACGCCCTTTTCGCTATTCACTAATGTGATAGTTTCGCACAGTCACTGGCATAACTTTCAACCAGTGATGGTTTTAGTTGGAAGGTTTTTGTCATCATGGAGATGTTGCTCATAATCTCCTGGCCACCATTGGACCACACAAATCATCATTTCCACAGACCAATTGAAGCACGTATGCGACAGACATATCTGTAGACTACTACAGAGAATTCAGGGCCTTCAAATACTGTTTCGAAGATTTACGCTTTTTGAGACACCGACGCAAATATGCAACGTCAGTCAATTTAATGATCAGCCATCGCATATATGCGGCGGCAGTCTATCTATGTGTAGTAATTGGCTGTCACATATGTAAACGAAACATTTTTTGTCGCTGGTCCATATGAATGACAAATTTTGTACTATTGGGGTAGCGAACGAGTTACATCAAATCTACAATAAAGTTTGTTGTGCCACCTGTATCCCATTAAAGAAGGCCTAACATTCTAACAACAATCCTTAAAACATTTTCCCTTGAGTATTGTGTCAATAAAATGGTTAATGATCTGTCATAAGTTTATCCATTGAATTAGCAAGAAAATGTCTAAAATTTCAGGACACCGGATCAAAATTTAATTCATGTACTAACACAAATAAGCTGTACCCTTATACATATAAAAGGTTATATACAACGTGTGTATACACAAATAAGCTGTATCTGTGTACTTTTGATCTGTTGATAATGTAGTTATATCGACAAAATAGTGGTTCCATTCAATTTGGCATGTAGAAATCCGTTGAAAACGACACCCAACAAGTCATAAGTCAAAAATCATAAATTATTTAAAATTCCCCCTACCCCTCCTAGAAAAAATAACAACTAAAGATGTACCAATACGCTAAATCTCTTATGGAGGTGGTTCTATCGACCTAAATATGGTTCCTATCGATTCACCGTGTATACAAACCTTAAAAACGACTTCCTAAATGACTTCAAATCGTGAATAATGAATTATATCAAAATTCCCCCTCCCCACGCCCTAAAAACCATGTTCCCCCATCGGGACTGTTAGGGACTCATCGGATCTTGACTTCTATTGGTGAAACGAAGTTAAAACCAAAGTTTCATCCCTGAACTAATTTTTTCATTTTTATTTAGTATTTTTCCTGTACTATTTTACTTGTATCTCTTTTCAGCTTTAACTAATGTTTCATTTTTCCTTGTCTTATAACAGTAACCCACAAGTCAAACACATGTCAGGTGTTTGCTCAGCTCAGTTCACATCCACTGGGAAAGTTATTTGAAATTAATATTCAGATACTGCTTGCCTCTGGTCAACTAACTAAGTGTAAAGTGAACTGATCAAATAACTAATTATCTGCATAAAAATCCCATGTTTTACAAGTAACTTTACAACAACTTAATTTTCATTGGTTGATGTCTTGGAGACAGAAACATCTCTCTCACCTCATGTGGTCTGTTAACTAGTCGACGGTTTGTTCCAGAAGACGACGACCTGAACGTGTGGATGTTTGCAATGATCGGGATTGGTTGCGTGTTCATCGTGTTTGTGGCAGCCTCCATCTTCTTGCTCTGGTCAGTATACTCTAGCGCTCACCCCTGCAAAGACAACGCTGATGAGTGCCATCTGCTTGGCATCAACGATGGCAAAAACAACCTTAACGATGACGATGACAGTTAAGCTGCCCGTCCCGCGGTAGATGGGGCAGAGTTCGCATCCAAGATGGGTTTCGTTTGAATTTCGGAAGAAGAAATATCTACAATGTCACCGTCAAGTCGATGTATTGGTGTTATCTAGTCTTTATTTGTTCCTCATGCTAGCCCTTAATTAGGTTCGAAAGTCAAATAAGTGTCACCATCTTGGCTAGACCTGACCCACTCTACAAGCACTGGGTTTTTGTGCAAATTTTTTATACATATCTCTTTTTACGGTCTTGGTAAACTTCGTGGCTGCAGGAGAGAAGGGCCCGGTTTTATTCTAGATCAATGTAAATTTTCTATTTTTGCTTCGTATTGTATATAAAAAGCGAGGTAGACACTAGTAACTTTGAAAAGTTTTTGAGCGAGCTGAACTGGTTTTAAAGCGTACTGCTGATAATTTTTGAAGGCTTTTTCGTATTTTTGTTGTTTAATTTGAATAAGAAATTACAGAATATGTGTAGCATAAGTTGTGGATTTGTTTGGTCGAAGATGTGTTCATTTCACTTTATGTTGGCTGTGGCAAACTGTTTCACTCATCATGTGCAATTCACAAAACTCACTTTCCATCGCTTGTGCTGCCGATTACATCACCATGTGAACTAATAAAAGCCGTTTAATATTTTCAGTAATACGGGGAAGCAGTCTAACGTTCGAACAAAGTAATGGTAGACGAGGGTCGCCTAGAGCAAGACGACATCGTCTTAGTCCTGACTAAAAGCTAAATTACTTGAAATGTTAACAATTTTAAGTCATTTTTTGTCAGTACGTACAAACTAGGTTCTAACAAATTTTAGGAGATCAAATTTTAACTAAACAATATGCAATATTCATAGAAATACATTAACTTGATGTTATACTTATGTACTCGAAACTGTTGTTCGAGATTTTTTATTTTCCAAAGTTAACCCTTTTACAAGTGAAATCCTTTTCACAATCAGTTTTACACTTGAAACTAATTGTTGAAAATAGTACAAACTAGAGTGCTTATGACATTTTTGGAATGTCAAATAATCATGTTGTTTGTGATGGTTGAAAACAAAGTATTTTTCAGTAGTATCAGCTTTAAAAGCAACAATCCTAGCAGTATTATATTTTGCTCAAAGCTGATTAAGTTTTTTTGTAATCAAATTAATGATTCTGTAAAAGAAACCCAATTGGAATATGTGAAAGGGAATTCATTGAGCTAATTAAGATATTATGTTGGAGTTGGAAAAGCCTTCAAATGTTATTGTAGAAAACAAATTGTTAAGTTACAGAAGAGACATACTTATTAAGTCGTTGGAAGACAATTCCAGGATAAGGAACAGTAGCGATACATGGATATCAAATTTCACAATTCTACAGTATTTGTCCAGTTGAGTTCTTTGATTATATTTCCCTACTCTGAACAAGTCTGAAGTCAATGTACTGTTGACCACTAACAAATGATTGCAGCAAATTGAATCCGAGCCATTTCCGACATTTTAGCGTTCCTTGTACGTTAGGAAATCGTTTACGGTCAGTGTAGTTCAGTTTGTAAATCAATCCGAGCACAGTTATCAGATAGTTTTGCAGCACTTGACCTAGCTTGGCAAGGTTGTAGAAAGATTGACTATATTATGTAGCTTCTACCATCATATCAAGACACCAATTATGTAAAAAACTGTTGCCAATAGAGGAGTATTTCGAGAATAAAAATAGGTTGTTTTAGTTTTTGATTAAAGTATTGATAGATTACAATGTTATCAAGTTATTATTTTATTCCAAGGCTGAGAATTATAATGCTGTCACTGTGGGTTTTCCATCTCCTGGAACCTAACAGCTACCAAAGACTAAATAGAATTAAGAAACTTAAAAACTTGTTCCTCGAAGAACTCAGTTTTGTTGTCTGACAGCTGGAGTGTAATAACAGTTTTTTTTTCTTTTATTTAAATTTAATTTTGTGGTTGACTATTATCAGAATGTTTGTTGTTGTTGAACAAAACTACCTAGTTTTTCTAGTTGAACATAGACCTTCTAAAGCAAGAGGAATGAACATGAAATGAAATGAAATGAAAAACGTTTATTTATCCCAAGAATATAAACTAAAACAGAGAGTAGCTATACAACTTAACAGTACAATATTTCTAAAATAAAATAAAATTTGCCTAACTTATGGGATAGGCCTACATGGGGCAGGTGCCTGTGCGTAGGCCTGGAAGCAAATTGAGGGCACACACTAAAATTGGGAAGGTTTTTAAGCCTTGTTAATTTAACTTGATCGTTTAGCGGATAAGAGAATGTCGGCGACGACAACCAAAGCCAGTGCAATCTAAGACAGGAGACATTGTGAGGGCGAGGGGGTCGAAGGGTCAAGGATTGTTTAGTCAGGGTCAAGTAAGGTTAGGTCTGATCAAAGTTTCGGCCTCTTCATTGGTAATCGTCTGCAGTAAAACAAGCATCTGTTTTTTGAATTTCTGTAATGAGGGTAAACTAAAAATGTGTTGAATATTATATTTTTGAATTAGATTTCGATATAGAATCTGAGCAACATAAAAACAGTTAGTAGTTAGAACTGACTTATGTAGCTGAGGGACAGATATTCCAACATTGTGTGAATATCTTGTGTAGTGTTGATGTGTGACTGCTATAAGGATCGTGTTTGAGTTTTTGAATGTGCGACTAAGAAGAAACCGAATGAAAATATGTCTGACTGGTAATACTCCCGTCTCACGGAATAGCGCATCAGTGGAGTACCTTTTATTTTTTCTAAAAGCTACTTTCAAAATTGATCTTTGGACCACATTCAAGGGTTCCAAGGTGGTGTGATAGCATGCTCCCCAGCAGATAATACCAAATGAAATCAAGGATTGTACATAAGCGAAATAGCGAAATAAGCTCTCTTTACGTCCTCCTCGTCCAAAATGACACTCAGTTGATTAAAAGCATATATGTATTTACGAATCCTTTTCTTTAAGAAATCTACATGCTCTGACCACCTCATTCGGTAGTCAAAATAAACACCTAAATATTTGTAATAATCTACTTTTTCAATGTATTCACAATTACAAGATATACTGTTATGGTCGCCACAACAATGAATCTTCAAATTGTCTAGACTATAATCAGTGCTTGTACTGAGTGATATCGGAAGAAATTTAGTCTTGTTCACATTAAGTGAGAGCATATTTTGATCTAGCCATTTTTTTAGAAGTGAGAGGTCACGGAGAGCTTTAGACCTGACATCCTCCCAAGAACGACCCTTTAACAAAACTAATGTGTCGTCAGGAAATAAAAATAGTTCACCATCCAGGTTCAGTTTTGAAATGTTATTTATATAGATTAGAAAAAGTATAGGCCCCAGAGTACTTCCCTGAATGACCCCATACTCAATTGAATTTGCATCACTATTCATACCACAAATGGAAACTACTTGATGTCTGTCAGATAAATAGTTTTTGAACCAGGCGAGAGCAGTGCCTCTGACACCGATCTGTTCCAATTTTGTTATCAACAAGTTTCTGTTAATTGAGTCGAATGCTTTTTTTAAATCTAAGAAAATTAACATTGAACGATTGTTATTTGCCATTGAGTTATTTATAGATTTACATACTTCAAAAAGTGCATCAGAGATGTTTTTATCTTTTCTAAACCCAAATTGTGAATTAGATAATATATTGTTATTATGAAGGTACTCCACCAACTGCTCCTTGACAATACGCTCTAAAACCTTGGAAAACACGCTTAACAATGAGATTGGTCTAAAGTTGTTACAGTCTTTTGGATAACCTGTTTTAAATAAAGGAATTGCCTTTGCAGTTTTGAATTGAGCCGGGAATATACCAGTCAGTAGAGATAGATTAATTATGTGTAGCAGCGGAATGTAAATTATGAGTGCGTTTTGTTTAAGTAAATCAGCCGAAACTTCGTCCAGACCCGGAGCTGAGCCACCGCGCAGCTCGGAGATGTGTTGTAGTACGTCTTCAGAAACAGTTTGCAATGTGAAAGTAGAGTCCAGTCTGTAGTCAGAGTCAACAACCACTGGGGTCCCACCCGCATCTATCTGCTTCGATAGATTTACTCCAACAGAAGCAAAGAAGTTATTAAAATCATCTGCTATCTCGTGTTTTGCGGCTTGAGTATCATGGGACATGCTGGGAATAAATTTATCAATTGGAAATGAATTTTTATTACGTGGCCTGCCAGCAAGATCATTGATCAGTCCCCAAAACAATTTTGGATTCCTATTGTTCTGGTACAATCTTTCCCTGTAAAAATCTCGTTTGGCTCTTTTTAATAGATTGCATAGGTCATACATACCTGAATGTTCACTAATTTTCAATCTTATAAAATGTATACCGGTAATCACTTTTAGTGTTATAACCAAAGAGTGAAAGATATACCTTAAAATGAGAAAGAAATATTTTAGTTGACATCAGTGAATCCAAAACGCAACTTATATGAATTACACATTAAAATTTCAGGACAGAATGAGAAGTTCAAAGTATATCATTTGAACTAACCTTGCTTAGATCTTTATTCAGGTTCTACAACTGTTTTGTAAATGGTGTATCCGTTGATATGAATAAATAAATAAATAAGATTTATAAAAGTTACAATATAAGTAGACTCAACTAATGAAATACGGTAATAGTCTATTGGCAAAAGTTCCTTGAATAACATGAAGGATTCTGCATATCCACATTTAATGTGTCTATGTGAGGATTTACTTTTCACAGATCATTCCAGTGTTGTTTTAATGTTGTATAAAATGTCATAGTTCTCTTACCTAGCAATTATTTCTATATCGCAAAATCAGTTTTCTTCTACTGTAGTCTATTTAAACCCTCGTGTGTGTAATTAGACATCTATGTTTTATACACTAGATATTTTATATCACATAGATGTTTTTGTACTGAAAGGTTTTAAGAGACGTCTACTATAAGTTATAGATTGATCGACAACAAACAGACATTTGTAGCAGATTTTTTTTTTTGAATTTTTAAGAAGTACCTGATTGATGAGTAAACTGTTTTATGCAGAAGTTTGCACAATTTTATCGTTTATCACAATGTCAACTATCAGGCTCTGTTATCATGGGATATTCTTTTAAAAATTGAACAGAAAATTGTTTTTTGTTGTCAAACGTAAATGTTTAAGAAGAGTGGGTAAGTAACATCAGTCCCTAGCCCAACAAAATTACAAGTTTAATTTTGAATATTTAATCAATTCTGATACTTTCTCCAGAATGGATACTAAAAACGTTGACTCAATAATTAAAAGTTAAAGTTTAAAAGACGGTACTTTGTTTTGAGCAAGATACAAAGAGAAGTTAAAACCAATTTAAGGACCAACCAATGTCTTATAAAGACGTAATTTGTTACTTAAATTAAATATTAATATCTGAAATAATGTGTACATACTTTTAAGTAGCTTTTATTAAAGCTTATGCTGGAACTAGTACGTAAGGAATGTTTTTGTTCAATGAAAATTGTCAGTTAAGAATACTGAAGATGGTTATGTAGGTACTCTAAGCATGGCCAAAAAATATTTTAACCTGTACCTATCTATTTAGTATTTTAGCAACTTAAAGGATGCAGTTGTTTTCAAAAATAGCTAAATAATTAGCTCATAACTATACTGCTCGTATATTGACTTCTAAAAATCTAAACTCAAGTGTGAATATTATCTGTTTGTTGTTGATGCTTGATAATTGAGAACCACACCTGTAAAACCCACAAGACAAACATGTTAGCTGTAACAGGTTATTTAAGCTTTTCCTCGTCTATCCTTTGAGGGGATTCTGAGTCTGATTTCTGCGGTTGTGATACGTTTTTGCTTCTTCTTTTAGTGTAAGAACATCGAATGTTACCACGGACAATATAATTGTGGCAAGTGTTTGTTTCTGTTTTCCGTTAACAATATAGTGAGTGTTTATTGTTATGTTTGTTACTTGTTAGATGTTTTATGTATCATTTGGCTTATCACAGAAAAAAATGTTCAAGTAACAATGGTAAAGCTTTTATTAGATGCTTACACATTTTGTTGGATGTATAATTTTTACCTATGTGGTATGGTCAAGTATATTCTAATTTAGATTTACAAATACCCTTGGCGGTCTCAAACTATGTTTTCAAACATCTTCAAAGTCCAAGAAAAACATTTTATCATCAAAAAGCTTTATTGACAATTTCAACAATCAACTAAATAGATTCAAGACTCTGACATGTACAACAGCAAATTAAATATTGATCTTATAGAGTTCTATCAACAGAAATTTACATTACCACATTCAAGAGCAGAAAACAACATTTACATTCTGTTGTAATATTTTCAAAATACATTGACTACGTATGTTGACTATTGTTACTTGAAAATACCGTAGGATCATACCACTTTACTCATTACTTGTCCACAAGCCTGTAAACCCAAGGTTGTCTCTCGTTCATCTTGCGAGGTGCTCTGATAAGGTTGTGTATCGTAGACTAGTTGTTGGACCTATTCTAGATTTTATATTGATATTACATGTAAATAGTTTGATATTTGTTCGGTCGGCTTTCGTTCCTGACGCACATGTTAATCTATTTTGACTAGCACTGTGGCATTCCCTACAGTTTCTTTAGGTTTTTGCTGGATCTAAATGTGTACATCGAACTTGTATTGTCTACCTAAGGTTCAGTAATACTTGGAATAATTCCTACGTCTAGTTTTAGTTGATGGTTCGAAAGGGGGAAAACAAAATTTTTCATCAGTCGGGGGAAAATTAATAAAAAGTAATTTATAAAAAAGTTCATTGTATCTATGTATATTTAAAATAATCTATACAAAATCCATGACAGTTAAAACTGGAGATTGGGTTTCTGTAGTTATACACAAACTGGATTCGTACATCTACATATCTGGCCTATATATTTTGAGTAGACACTAGACAATATTGTATGTGTATAAGCTTGTATATAAATGTTGTATACAATAAGCTATATTATAAAATAGTGGGAAACTGTCCATTTACCTTACTTTTTGTATGTTTATTGTCGTGTATGTTATATAAATATAAAATGAGTATAATAAAATTATTAAATTATACTTATTCAATTCATTTTCCCATGATGAAAACGAGTTCATATATTTTCTAGTGAAAAATAAAACTTTTAATTCTCTACTTAATAAACAAAATCGGTAAATGTATCTGTTAAAATTTTGATTGACATCCATTGAATAAAAATTTGTGTATTATTTTAATGATCAGATTTTAACAGAAAGCCAAGAGGAGCCATTTTTGGGAAGGAATTAAGTTTAGCCAGCTCAAATGATCAAGCGTTTACTGTAATAATTCCATTTGCCAACTACAGTTTTGCTAGTTAAATAATTTGTTTATCATATTAACCCATACATAACCCTTCCTAAAGACCATTAATTTCATGTAAGATTATATCGTTATAAAATGGGAAGTTTTTCTAACTGTCTATCCTTCCATCACTTCTCCAAAACTAATCGATCAATTAAGTTTAAATTTCACTCGCAAATAGATAACTTACTGTACGAGAAATTTTGTTGATATAGACATATTGCCAATGTGATATTTTGACCGCCTTGCCCTAGGAGGTGAAAAGTTGAGTAAAGGCTTGGCAAAGTACAGTGTGTTTATAAAATAATGCCGAGATTTAAAATGGTAATTGCTTAGGTACTGTTCAAGGTAACTAAACATTTTATATGTCAAATTGAAGCTAAAATAAAAAAAAAACTAAGTTCCTAGCAAGGGAGGAAACTTTGATCTTGGCATGCGCAAAACAGGTGCACGATGGTAGGCTGCTATTGTGACTCACACACCGTAAGTTTTCAGTTGAATATATCTAAATCAACACTTCATGATGCTATTCGTAAAAGATAGTCTTTGTGCCTTAAACGATTCAGTTAAGACATCAGATAAACCCTCCAATTGCACTAAGCGTGCAGTCCTTGCCAGTTTTACGCTGATATAAAATTGTTGAAAATCAGATTTCTTTTATTATTCCAAATTTTATCAAAGTAGGAGAAAAAATGTGTTCTTTTCCCTTAAATTTGGCGTTTAAATTATTTAATTATCTCAAATAGTCCCCGAGCAACGGTCGTTTAAAATCCTGGAATTCTTTTATTCCCTGTATATTGTCAATACCTAGTTAAAAAGACAACAAAAGAAAACTGACTACATTTACAATTTATCTGTTTATGTTTTATTGTGTGTTTTTGTTAACTTAGACTTATTTAGGCTACCTATCACCCAGGATCAATGATTGATTTTAAGGTATTAAGGATTCACAGTCAACGGTGTATAACCAAATGAGGTGTAGAGTAGTTTGTACTGTAAACGAAAAGCATCACAATAGTCCCAAACCTGTCAATGGTGTGGTGTAATGTTCTAACATTTTTAAGGAGACATTTTATTGAAAATATAATGAGGAAAATGGAAATTCACTTAGTCTGAAGGTTTGAAGTTATTCTCATAAACCTCAGGAAGACAGCCAAGGTTGATACGGCAACGGTTTATAGAATCTAGCTTATTTCAGTATTAAGTTTGTTTAAATTGACTGTGCGGGATTTTGAAATCAAGTGCATTTGTAGGTTCTGCTTGTTTAAATTTTTTAAAGATATAAGTTTGCTCTTTGTTGCCATGTATAGCAATTTGTTACTTCAGAAATTTTAAATCCCAAGGGACAGAGTCCTAGGTAAATATTGAAGCGGGAATAGTTCTATATGTGTCCTCGGAGCTTTAGCTTTATTTTTGTGCGATTTGAGCCAAGACGGTTCAGTAGTTTTTGTGTTTAGCTTATACAAACACACAAACAGACACCACCTCTTCTTTATAATAATATATCAAATTACCTATTTCCTATTACGCTATTTCCTACAGTGTCTTCAAAGAGCTTATTAAACACCCCATTACAAGTACAACAGGGGAATAAAAGTTAAATTTGTAAATAATAATTTCACTTCCAAGCAAATAATAATGTGATAGATTTTCCAATAACATAACATTACATGGAAGCAATAACTGAGGTAGGTAATTCCAATTTAGAGTAGATGGGGAGGAATGGTCCAAGAATCCTGGCAATACAAGGGGAGAAGAGATGAAGTAAGGAGAGAATGGGAGAAGTGGTGGGGGAGTGGGTGGGGGTGGGGGCGGGGGTTTGAAAGATCAATGGCCAATCCTCTGCTCCAGTGGGATAAATCCCTTCAGAACCAAATGTCCCTGAATTCACAACTGCCAATGAATGGTTTTCATTCTCCTTCAAACTAAATCATACTTGAACCAATTTATTGCATATTTAAATTGTTAATGTAAGATTAGTCCAGAAAGCTCCTTAACAAATTAGTTCCAGAAATAAGAAAAGTATTTTTGGCTGAATTGAAAAATGTTGTAAAAGCTAAAACATATCCCTAACAAACTTAGTTCAACACGCAAAAGACTTCTATGAATACATTTTTATTAAAAAAATTATTTGGATTAATTTTTGAAACTTTAATGTAGTTTTCATAGTTTGGTGGTTTTTGTTTATTTTTTCAAAAAAGGTTTTTATATTGGTCATTTACAATTTTAATTCCGGTAATATTTTATTTGAAATAGGTGCCTACTTGATGGAGTAGGCCCTTCAAACCATCAGTTTGGATACTCAGAAATGGTTGCTAAATCCTGCAGTCATTCATTTCAAAACCTAATGATTTAATCAATAAATATTTATAAAATAGTTAGTCAGTGTCGGTTCTAGGACCTTGTCTAAGGGGGGGGGGGCTTTATGGTGAAGTTTTGCACACACCCCAAGAACGGAAGGGGATCTGGGGTGCTCCCCCAGAAAATTTGGTATTTTTTAAAGCCGTTTGGTGATTTTCTAAAGCAATTTTTGACATCTAAAACCTTTGTTAAGTTTTTAGGACTAAACGTATATAAATATATTTTTTAGGGTCCAATGGGGAGGGGCTTTAGCCCCTGTAGCCCCCCCTTGAACCGCCACTCTGTAGTTAGTCAATCAACACCCTGCAAATATAATACAATCTTCAACATAAGGGGATTTTTATCTTGAAATATCTCTTACAAGTCAAATATCCCTAAACAGGGATAAAATCCCTGATGTGGGATATAGATGGGGGAGACACCTAGTGGCTGTTGCTGGAACTACAACACTCTGAATCTGTCTGTGATCTGTGTGACTGTGAAGCTGTCATTGGATGTTTGCAGATTCTGGAAGATCCAGTTGAAGATTATTTTGATGTCACAACAAACAGTGAGTTGTATTTATTTTTGACATATTATGATATTCTATTTTAATAGGTATTCAAAATAATTACAATGAATAATCTTGATTATTTATATGCATCAAATATTTTAGATATTCAATATTGGTTTAGTTTTCTCAGATAATAGTTGCATTATAAACTTATAAGTTAAAAATATAACAATTAAATTATAATGCTGCTCATTAAAATTTTTTTGTACAATATATATGGATATATGTTACTTTAATTGTTAATTATTTTTTATTAAAATACTGTACTCATAACCTGATAACTAGAAATTGTCACTTTTATAAATTAATTTACCGTTTTAAAATGTGTTTCATTTTTATGTTGTGTGCATTTTAGCATAACTCTACAGCAAGGCTAATCATGAATTTTAAATTTAGGGATGCTTGCTGCTTGTTTGTTTTGAAACTCAGCCATTTTGGTATTCCACCCTCCCCTAACTCACCCCTTTATGATGATATTGTGAAGGGAAGATTTTATGATTGATTACTTCTGATTACATAGATTGATGTACATAGGTTGATGACCTTATTTTACAAAGCATCTATGATTTTTTACTACCCTTTTACAACGTTTTTATGTCACTAGTCAAATTGTTTAGACCAAGCTTGATGTAAAATATACATCTTCTTGTAAATTAATGAGGAATAAAAAACATAATCACCATCTATATCTAATCTATCCACCATATCTATCTACAACTATATTTTAAAAAGATAATTTTTGAGGTAGATATTAAAAAAAAGAATATTTAGTAGATAACAAAATATTTGTAAAATTTTTTATAGAAATATAATATCCTTAAAAGAAAACAATCCAGCCCACAATAAATGCATACATTTATAAAATAACTGTGATTGTAATTAATTGGTTTTATAAATCACAAACTAAAATGCTGGTACATCTTCATATAAAAAATCTCTTAACTGATCAAGCAAATTTCATCTATAGGGAAGAAAATATTTATTTCAATCAAAGCTGCTGTATTTAACTAAAACACAAGGCAAATCTTTGTGCGTAAATTTGAGAATCAAACATAAAAATTCATAGACATAGTTTGAAAGTAAAACTGTATAATCTTATTTGTGTGTGTAGTTAGAGTTTTATAAGAGTTTCCGCTATTAGCTACAGTATGACCACAGCACGATGAGTCAGAAGTAGGATAGTTTGCAAACATTGTGGTTCTTATCACATTGTTTGTTTGGCTTTACTCTAGCCACAACAATAAAGAAGTGAAGGTATGTAGCCAAGTAGTCAGAAATAGATTGCCAACTCTGGATTGACCAATTTGATAAACTCACTTTAATTTAGCTTGTTTCATTCATTCCATGTATTTATCACAAAGCTTGACATGGGTAATTGCTTGTTGGTCGATGACTAAGTTAGTTCTACATCTAAGCTATCTAAGCTATAAAGCAGTGCATAACAATTATTGTTATCCACTAAACACTAAACAATGACTAGTAACACATGTATAGGTACAAGTTTAACAATTAAAACAGTATTTTTTTACTATGAAAAACTTTGAGAGAACAGTAAAATCCTCATACATCAATCGATTAATCTAATTATTTATTTGAAACCTTAAAGTAAATCGATAGAAAAAGAAAGAATACCATTTGTATGCTATTTCATATAATTTATTATTTGTTTACTCTCATGAACAAGGACATTTGTTTACTATTTTTTACTTTGTCAATTCAAAATACTGTTTACGTCATTATACATGGGCTTTCGTAGCATTGCTAATAATTGTGTTAGATCAGGTGTTTAATTGCGAATGGATATAGACAAGTGTTAATGTTCATTATTTTAGCCGAGGCTCGGAGGTCAGCTATACTGAGGTAAATAGCTCGATTTTCGGGTTAAAAAATAGTAAGCTGTAACAATAAATTGTTAGTTTTATCTTTTTTTTTTATTTGAAAGGCTGGGATTTAAATTAAACTAAATTAACTCTTAAACCTTGGATCTTACACTTAAGAAAAATTTACTTAAAATTTTGTATTTGTACTTTAAAAGTATTGTTTAGCACTTATCATTAACAAAACAAGCTAATGTATTCTTGTGCTCAGTGGAATATTTTTATTAAAAGTTAACATTTTTTATTCATACGGTATCTATTTGTTTAAAGACATTTTATTCATTATCATTCCTACTATGAATTTTCCTCTTGATGTTTGAGGGATACTTCCAAAGTCACCATGCAGCCAATCAAAACCGGTTTTGTAATTAATTATAAAATCCACCATAATTTAAAAGTTGGAAATGATACTTATTCCTATTTGTTTTTTTTTTTTTCTTACGAGACATGTCTCTATCTGTACTACTAATACAACAATGATTCAAGCAAGTATCAAAAGGGTTAATTGTTAAATAAACTTTTAATCTAAGCAACTCATCTTTCTTAATAGTGTTTGGTCAATTTGCTACAGAATTCAATCAGAAATTCAATTGTCTGCAGAATACTACTAAAATTTAAAATTGAACATTATTTGAATATTATTAATTAGCTTCTTAATTTATTTCAGAAATTATACATTTAATTTGGATGTTTAACAGTTGGTTCTACTGGATGGCAGTAACTGATAATGGCTCAAATAATAAATGGAATTGCAACTATTCCTGCTGGTGAGAAGAAAAGATCATGTTTTGGCTCGAGGTAAGTGTAAGAAATCTTCCATGAAAACTCTTACCATACTTTTGTGCTATCTAACTCAGTTTTTATGACACATTGTGCTGCAGTGTCGGATTTCTAAGAAAACTGTAGTTGTTGTAATCATACAACCAAGGAGATATGTCCTACCTTAACTGTCAAATCAATCAAATCATATAATGTATATTAGCACATAAACATACAGAGATAGCTTTATTTGTCTTGTAATTTTTTTATGTTGTAAATATTTTGTTAGGTGTTTGTTCAGTTTTGCTAGATAATGTCTAACTTGTTTTATATTCTGCAGGTCAGGGGTGTATCACATTTCCGGCAAACAGTTGGTCGACCCAGTGCGAGAGAAGAGACTCGGGTCGCTCACGATGTTACCAACACTTCCGACAGTTAATATACACTTTAGTGACCTCTCGTACACTGTACCAGATCGGAGAAGAGGTACAGTTATAGCTTACAAGTTTTTTTTATAGTTTAAATTAGCGTTCACTTATATCCCTTTTGGGATTTGTAATAAAGAGTTTGGTTGATTAAGTGAATAGAGTTTGTACGATTGTTAACCAATGATTGACCTCTCAAGCCACAAAGTTTATGCCATGAAGTAATTCAACCAAACCATTACTTTCAACTACCTTTGGGAGCATTACTAAAAAAAAATCTTGTACGCTGTATCCAACGTACTAGAGCTCGTGCGTTTCCTGGTGAAGCCTGGGGGTAGTGTTGAATCCCCTACAAAACTGGTTGTGAGCCAATCTAACCGCCCCCAGGCTTCACGAGGAAATGCACGAGCTATAAAACCTAACGATTGGACATTAGGTAACCAGTTGTTAGTGAGGTTGACGTTTGGTCTAAAGCGTAGTTTCCTCAGCTAGAAGACAGCACCATCTATTGATCAAAGGTCCTATTCCTTTCTCAGTCAGGTTTGGTCTGCAACTCTTTAGGAGGTCATTGGTCTATGGCAGACTTTAGTGAGGGAGGTGCACCTATGAAACAAAGGCTTGGGTAGGTGATGCAGGGCCGGTTGTAGACATTTTTCTATTGTAAGCGAACAACATTCCAGTTGTATTTCTACGTTCACAAAATTAGGGGCAAACATGTAAAAAAGTGTTGTGAATCATCGAATGTAATCACTGGACTCAAAAAGTTAATTGTAAGTAAGAGTAAAGAATCAGTGTACGGCAAGCGTGTATGATGTGTTTATGACATTTTAATCACTCACAGCCAACACAATATCAATCACTTCTATTCAATCTCTTGTTTACGTGTGTATTTATTGTTGCTCAGGATCCAAGAGATTGCTGTCTGGACTCAGTGGAACGTTCTACTCCCAGAAGTTGACTGCCATCATGGGGCCTTCAGGAGCCGGCAAGAGCACACTGCTCAACGTCCTGGCGGGATACAAGTATGTACACAACGAAACCTGAACTAGACAGTTGTAATATAAATAAGTTCGGGGAGGGGTTAAATGTAAAACATACGTCCTAAGGAATTTATTCATATTCAATTGCCTTGAAGTGACTGAAGGAACATAAAGAATTTAAGTGTTTTGATATGCGTACGTGCTTTTATTTTTATTGTAAAAAACATTTGGAACTCTAAAACTGTAATGTCCAATACCTTGGCCACAATAACCTTCCCAACTATTCACATTCATTCTTTTCTATCTCCAGTTTCTTCTACTGTCGTCCACAGTCTGATGATGTCCTTCATTACTCTCTTTGCCTCTCATCCTTAGTCTGTCAAGTCAACGTCTACTTAGTTCTTTGGAACACATTTTACAATTGTTAATTGCTATCTCCTTCACAAGGTCTTCACAATCTTCTACTGTTCTACCCTTTGTTAATCCTACTACTAACTGGATTTTTATAGATCTCTCTTAACTGTCTGCTCATTAGTATCTTCAACCTTCGACATCTTGAATCTTGATAGGATCGACTTCCTTATCAAGTTTAATTTATGAAGTTATTGTAATACCTTAGAGAAGCCATCATCACAATTGTAAGAAAATAGAAAATGTATGTAGGGTAATATTTGTACAAAAGTTTATTAAAGCAGTAATACAGTCCTTAGAAAAAACCTGTTATGTTCTTCAATATTGATTAAACAAATCAACCAGGATATCGTAAATACGGTAAATATAACTTTTATATTTCAAAGTTTTATTTACGTACAACATTTTTCTTTCTTACCTAAAATACGTTTTGCTACTCCTTGTACGTTATATCAGCTGAAATGTTAAAGCAACCCGAGTACCGTAACATAGATCAACAACAATCACATAACAATTAGTAAATGGCAGTTCATATTGATTTCAAATTAAATCAATTTGTATTACCATTGAGTATTCGATACCAATAGTCAAATGTATTGCATAATCTGTTATGGCCTTGAAACTCTATATACCTGAACTAAAAATTTGGTAATTTGAAACCTTTAAAACAATTGGTTTCAGTAAGCAGCTCTTTACACATTGTACAGTTTAGTTTTTATGTTATTAATCTAGTTAGTGCAATATATGCATGTGATTAAATTGATGTAATAAAGTTTTAGTCTACCCCTAAAACAATACTGTGCTATTTTAGTTACATTACAACATGATTTAGTCAAAGATAAAGGACACTTAGAAAGACTTTGATGGTTTTTTGTCAAATTTATGAAATTTGAGTCAACATTCATTGAGAACTTTTTTTTAAATATGCACGCCATAAGATTTTGCAGTGTAAAAAAAATGGAAAAATGACCACACAAAAGAATAAAGAATCTTGAAGATATTTAATCTTTTTTACACGTAATTTTTATTTCATTGAGGTCATAAGTTTATCCAACATAGAAACATTTTCATTTAGTTGCATTTTTTTATTTCATCGAACACTTAATAACATCAACACTGCACTAGTGAGACACAATTCCACCCCAAAGAACATGAGAGAAAGAACATGGGTTTCCGTTTCCTAACAATCTGTACTCTGATGTATAAGATATGTAAATTACTCTGTCTGACTTTCGCAGGACTAGAGGACAGTCAGGCTCGGTAACATTGAACGGAATTGACCGCAAGTCCCTGAGCTCATACCGCAGACTGCTGAGCTATATCATGCAAGAGGACCACTTGATGGCCCATCTCACCGTTCATGAGGCGATGACAATAGCGGCTCATCTCAAACTGGGCGACCAGTTCTCTACCAAGGGGAAAGCTATTGTTGTGAGTACAGCCACGTGGTTAGGATTCATGCTAAGAAGAAATTATACGAGTACAACAGTAGGATTTTGAACTGTACAAAACCAAATGAGTAATGACAATTAATAAGTCTCTGGAAATTTTAATATTTTCTTTGTAACTGTGACAGAACTGTCCAAACTCTGGTCTTTGCTATCCTGTTAGTATAATTAACCCTGTCATACATAATTATCTGAGTAGCTGTATGGTGTATAGTGCTTGCCTTAAAATCTGGAGGTGGTTGGTTCAATCCCAATCATGATAGATTTTGAATCCAGCTTGACTTTGGGCTATCAATCAATGCTATCTAACAGCTAACAATAGGTGATCCTTTGACGAGGCTTAGACGAGGGCTTTGAGTGCTCCCCGACAAAAAATGAAAATTGATGATGGTATTAAAAAACTCAATATAAAACAAAATAATCTTTAAGTTACAGAGGCTGATAACCCAATTTTGAGAATAATACAGTAGACTCCTTCTTATCGGGACACCTTTTAACCGGACGTCGGTTTATCCGGACTACACTCGGTAGAAGTGACATCTCTTTATCCAGATAATTTTTATCAGCACATCGATTTAACCGGACTAGATTGGCAGGAAGTGGGCGGTACTGAAACGACTGTTCTTGTGGAAAAGATTTGAGACCAGTTATTACGTGTCTAAATACAATGCTCTCCTAAATTTTAGTCAAATACTGTATAAAGTATGCATTTAAGCGGTCCGTTTTAACGAGATTTTGGGAACGTTAGTTTAAGCGGAAAAACCGTTATCCGGACTGGCCTCGGTCCCAAGGAGTCCGGATAAGAGGGAGTCTACTGTATAACCAAACACCCTCCTTAAATATCTATATAAAAGAATGCGAGCCTATATTAACAAGAACAGTTGAAAGCAGTACCGTACATGACATTTGCTGCAACCTTTACGCTAACTCCCAAAGTGTATAACTAGGGAATCATGTCTCAGTCGCAGGAGGAGGCCACTCTCTGTGGCATATATTGGCAGAGTTTGAAGAAGTAGACAGAATGGGTAAATTGCGAGTGTTCCTCAAATTATGCATCTTGCCCCTTATTCTTTACTGTGTGTGAGTGTGTCCATCTAAAACTTGTTTCTTAACCAAGATTTTGGATTTTGTGTTCATGATATAACTAATCATTTAAGTGTAAACAAACAGATAGCCCTAATCACAACTGGCAACTGAGTTCATAACTAATCCCGTTTTGGATGGAACAAGAAGCCCTTGGATTTAAAGGCGAGCACTACAATTTCTCAATCAGTCATCACTTAGCTCCAGATATGCTTACAGATTATTATTTTACAGGTAGATGAGATTCTAGAAACTCTTGGTCTCACTGATTGCAAAGAGACGAGAACAGCAAATTTATCCGGAGGACAACAAAAGAGGCTATCTATTGCTCTGGAACTCATCAATAACCCTCCTATACTATTCTTTGATGAGCCAACAAGGTAAATAATACAGAAAGTAAGAGATTTAGTCATAATTACTATTGTTTTGAAAGGAGGGAATAATAAAACTAAACTTAAGAAAATAACTTTAGAGGCTAAAATTTAAATAAAACCCCTAATTTTTTTGCAAACGACATGTCAGAATTAACTTTCGGAAATGCACTTATGTTTCTGTACAAATTACTTTTTGAATTTAACATTTCAACTTGTAAACTAGAACTGCTTTCCAATATTATTTGTTCTATATCCCTTGGCTGCATTATTGTAATAATATATATTGACTTTGGTTTAACCTCAAAAGTTAATCGTTTAACAAATTAAGCAGCAAAAAGCTTACGTATTTTAGCTGAATATGAGTACAGGTGAGATCCGTGATTTTTGTTACCAAATGAGATCTGTTGTTTCTTTAGCCAGGACCATTTGTCAAAAGCCCATTGATCAAAGACAGCTGGATAATGCTCAAGTTGTTTTTATTCTTGTTGGCAATAACTTTGTACTGTCAGGGCCGCCCCGAGGGTAATAGACGCCCGGGGCGAGATTTAAATTTTCGCCCCCTCCGGCCCCTCCCCTAACAAAGGTATTTGGGGATTTTGCGTCAATAGACCCAACGTCCAATATATCGATATCAAACGCTTTGCAAGTATTTTTTTATAAATGTAACAACTACACTGAACTAAATTATTGAAAACATTGAATTTACGACTCACAACGGACATCACGAAAAGACTATGACATAGTGTTATACAGTCAATGACTATGAGTAGAAAAGTATGTAAGAATTTGAGCTTTGAGGTTAGAAACAAGCAAGTGTAGGTGGGGCGTGTGGGCGAATACGCAGTATGTTCGAAACGGCACACGGAAGATTTCTCAGGTGCCGTTTGACGTCACTAACTGCAGACGTCACTTTGAGGGAACACCAATACTACAACGATAAGCATGTATCGCTCTCCTAGTGGTAATGTATATAGATTTTTTGAATTGCTTGAACTTTGTCTAAGTTACCTTACAACCTTAGGCCTCTTTGTGGTGATTGGAACCGATCATAATATCAATTTGCTTAGCTCTGACAACTACGCGTCTGATTTTGTAAATTTGATGCGAACTTTTAATATATTCCCTTCAATCATCGAACCAACTAGGGGTCCTGCATCTTTGGACACTTTTCTAACCAACTTGGACAGATGGGACTATGTGGCTGCGGTAAGTGTGGACAGTATTGCAGATCACAAGCATGTTCTGCTGTCGGTCACTACTCCGAATGTGGATCAACATCACCAGGTGTCCTCAAAAGTGGTATCCTTCAGAGTCTACAGTGAGGAGGCAGAATTTAAACTTATAGAATACCTAGAACTGAATGTACATTTCTGGTTTGATGAAATCAAAGCATTGACGGCAAATGATGCTTTCATGTTTTTTCATGTCAACTTCAACATGGCCTTTGATCATTTTTTCCCAATAAAATGTAAAAAGGTGCATGTTGGCAAGTCAGGGGTTTCTAAAAGTAATGGTTTGCCTGTTGTTAAGGACTGGTATACCCCTGAACTCTCTAGGCTAAAGAACATGATAACTTTAGTTAATGATTTAGTTAGTGTAAGACCTGATCTGTCTAACTTGCTTAAGCTGCTTAGAACACAATACCGTAAGAATGTGAGGGATGCAAAGATCAACTCAAATGCCGCATACATAACAGGGGCTTCCAATCCCTGTAAGGCGGCCTGGAATTTAATAAATCAAAATAGACCTCAAACAAAGTCTGATATTCTTGATCCGTCTTTTGCATCTGCTGATGAATTCAATTCGTACTTTGTTGAGTCTGTTGAGTCCATCTTGTCAACCATTCCAAATGTAACGCAATCCTCTCCTGTGATCCTGTCAAGCATACCTGATGGTGCACCTACTTTTGAATGGAAACATGTATCGGTCCAAGACATTATTAATGCTGTTATGGGCTTTAAACTCTCTAACAGTAAAGATGTGTATGGCATGACACCTAATCTTTTGAAACACATTGTGTGGGCACTGGCACCTATACTAGCCCATTTGGTTAATGTATGTTTTTTAGTTGGTATTTTTCCTGCTCCATTAAAAGTCTCTAGAACTGTGCCTGTCTATAAAAAAGGGTCCCGTGACAATGTTGCAAGTTATCGACCAATATCGTTGATTCCTGTATTTTCTAAACTGTTTGAAGCTATTATGTTTGCTCAATTGTACGACCACCTTGAAGCACACAGCCTTCTGGTGCCTGGTCAATTTGGCTTCAGGAAAGCCAAATCCACTATATTGGCTGTTGATTCTATTGTACAATTAATTGTTGATGCTTTTGAGTCTAAGAAATCTACCTCCGTAATACTTTGTGACCTCTCTCGCGCTTTTGATTGTGTGTCACATGAAATTTTGCTCCTGAAATTGGGAAAATATGGCCTAGAAGGCAGTGCTCTGAGATTGGTCAAATCCTACCTCAGTGATCGCCAACAGGTTGTAAGTTGGAATGGTATTACATCTAAACCATTAGCTGTAAGACACGGGGTTCCGCAAGGTTCCATTATGGGACCTCTGTTATTTTTAGTAACAATCAATGACCTCTATACCAGACTTGAAGGTAATTGCATGTTGTATGCTGATGATACTTCCCTTATATCATGTAAAGCGACCCGTGAACAAGCAGAGCTGTCTGTTAAGAAGATTTTTGAGTCAGCCTCAAATTGGTTTGTTGACAATAAATTAGTGCTCAATAATGAGAAAACACAGTACATAACATTTAGCCTATGTGATTCCCAGATTGTTCCTTTCCAAGAGCCTGTCAAACTCCTTGGTATAACCCTTGACCCCTGTCTCAATTGGAAAGACCACATAAGCCAAGTCTGTACTAAACTAAGTAGAGTAGTACATCTTTTAAGACGTCTAAGTGACCAATTGCCACAGAGTACCCTTAGAATGTCCTTCTTTGCATTTTTCCAACCTCACATATCCTATGGGTTAATTTTGTGGGGCCACTCACCCAATGTCGAAAAGATCCTGCGACTGCAAAAGAAGGCAGTAAGGATTCTCTGTCATGCTCACTATAAAGAACACAGTAAGCCCTTGTTTAAGAGACAAAGAATTCTGACAGTTGTAAATATGTATATATTCCAATGCCTTGTTAGTATTAAGAACAGCATGAATGACTTACATGTAACCAGTTCAGTGCACAATCATGACACTAGGTTTAGTTCTAAGCTTGTCATTCCTCGGTCCAGGACTGATAAAAGAGCTAGGTCATACCCTGTTTCAGGAATAAAACTGTTCAATCACCTTCCTGGTCATGTGAGAAATCTGGAAAGAAAGAACTTCCAAACCGCAATACTTGATTGGCTGATTAAAAATCCTTTTTTCAAATTCAAAGAGTTTTTTGAAACTGTATTTAGTTAAGTTTTCCTCTGAACAGCCTGTTTGCTGTTTTTGCATAGTGCATGCACATCTTTTGCTTGGTTTGATTTTTAAGTCTTGATATTTATTTTATTTTATGCTTGTACATTGACATAGCCTGTAACAATGTTGTTGTTGATTGGCCAAATAAATTCATTGTATTCATTGTATTCATTGTACGGGTTTGAGCCATCGGCCTCGGTGGTGTAGTGGATGGCGTGGTGAGCTGATAATCCCGACGAACCGGGTTCAGATCCCGCCGGTAGCACTAATTTTTTGTCAACAATTTTTTTCATATCAGCAAGTTTGGTTGGTTTGGTTAGGTTATGACAGTTTAATTTTATAATTTAAAAAAATATAAAATTGAATTTTAGGCATTTATAATTTTATTTTATGAACAAAACTATTTTTTAGATTAGTAAACCTTCATTCGAATTTTCCTTTATCAGCACGTTTGGTTAGTTTGGTTAGGTTATGACAGTTTAATTTAATAATAGAAAAATTATAAAATTGTCTGTTTCTTCAGACGCAGCAGTTAGTGACGTCAAACGGCACCTGAGAAATCTTCCGTGTGCCCCACCGCAGTATGTTTGTCTCAGACTCGCAGTATTGCCAACAAGTCACATGCCAGACGTAAAAGTAGTAATAGTACGAGTTGTAGGCTATATTAAATAACACGGTATTTATTTTATAAACAAAAGTAAAGGTATAGATTGCCTTTTCTTAGAATAGTCATTGATTGATTGATTACATGTTTACGAGTTCCCCTAAAATATTTGTTTGCCGTTTGCCGATAACGTTGTTAAATTTTAAACCTTCCATGGCGCCCCCCTAGCCACGGCGCCCAGGGCGATCGCCCCGCTCGCCCCGCCCTCGGGGCGGCCCTGTGTACTGTGTCAATTAATGAATTTTTTCCATCACTTTGTAATACATGAAAAACAATAGATGTTTATTTTCAGTGGACTGGACAGTTCGTCATGTTTCCAGTGTCTGTCGTTGCTCAAGACGCTTGCTCGAGGAGGAAGGACGATCATCTGTTCCATTCACCAACCCTCGGCCCGGCTGTTTGAGATGCTGGACAACTTGTATGTGTTGGCGGAGGGCCAGTGTATATACCAGGGTAGAGTGCAGGGCCTTGTACCCTTCCTAGGGTCTCTAGGACTAGAGTGCCCCAGCTACCACAACCCTGCTGACTACGGTGAGAAATACTAATTCTTTGCATTGTTAAGGAAAGCACAAAAGCCTAGATTTTCAGGATTTTTGTAGGATATCAGGCTTGCCTGCAAGAAAGAAACAAGAAAAACTGTACGCACTACACAAAAGTATATATAAGTATGTATATATAAGTATATATCACTGTCACTTTGACCTCACAGAATTTTTAATCGAGGAAGATTTGAGTTGGGAAGAGAGATCAACTCAAACCTACCAAACCTCTCTTTTGGATTTAGAGAAACTCACTATGAAATCTTTATTAAACAAGTTTTGAATGCACTTAAAGTGGTTTAAATACCTGCAATACGTATGTAAACTTAATCGTTAATTTTTGTATATAAAATGTGTAAATAGTTCTTTTTGTCTCCCTGATGATGCCACACACTGTGGCGAAATATATTGGAGGATTTTAACTTCTTTCTGCAAGAACAAAGGCTAAGGTAACAACAGTTCAGTAATTAAATATTCTAGTTCTTGCCACTGGGAATACATCAAATAATCTTTAATTTTTGCACTTGAGGCATCAACTCAGTTGCTTGATTTCGTAACAATCAATTCGTGATTGAGTTGACTACTTGTAGACCTACATTATATTAAGAACCAAAATAAGTTTCCACAACAGCAACAAAGAATTACTTATCGTTGGTATTTAAACCATTTTATGTATAATTCTGAGTCTACCCAACTTTTTGGATCCACATTACATATGAATGATTAGATCTATTTAGAAGGTATTTGTATTTTCTATAGAGCTGTAAAATAATTCCTAAACTTATTACAGTGATAGAAATAGCGAGTGGGGAGCATGGAGATGTAATTCCAAGAGTCGTTAATGCTGTCAAGAATGGACAATGTGCGGCCTACCTTGACTGTGACTCCAAAATGGCTGATGGTTCGTATGACAATTTTATGAAGTAGTAGCTATATGAGTAGCTCAATCTCTGAGTTCATTTATTTTTCACTCTGAAATGTTTGATCTTGAATTATAGCAGTTACATCAAATGGCAGTAGAGTTAGAGTTGGTGTTAAACAAACTTTTTAGCTGAATGAAACCAATTTCACTATCCAGAAGGAGTAAACAGTAGTGATAGCATTTGTAATAATTATTTGTCTAACTTCAGGAAAGGAAAAGTATATGAAAGCATAGTCACATGTACCATGTCAGTGCCTATAGACCACTCTACTATACTCTATGGTAAGATGCATGTCAATCATAGTTCTTGCTCTTAATGTTGTATTTATTTTTAGATCCAGTCAATGGAGTTGTGATGTCCTCAGAAAGTAGTTTAGAGGAAAGTTTTTCTTCTTCAGCCTTTCCTATATCACATTTCCGGCAATTTTGGATTCTGTGGAAGAGAACACTAGTGTGCACTGTTAGAGACATGGTAATTGATTTGTACAATTGGTACTGTATTTATTAAGCAGACTATAGGTAAACCGTTTAGAAAGCGTCCTCCTCGTAGCATTGGTGCGAGAGAGAGATACCGAGCTGTGGGAGTGAGACAGACTATGGCTCTTCCCCCACTCCGCTGCCGCCAACCCCCAACCTTCCCGAACACCGCGCAGTGATACAACACAACACAACACAAACACAACCCTGCAGAGTGCAGTGTACTCGCGTACTGCTACCGGACCGGCACCTCGCTCTCGTTGAATACAATGATACAATAATTATTTCCTTTTGAACTACAATAATTCTTTGGGACTAAGTCCATCGTTAGGTAACACAACACACATAAATATAAATAGCTTAAGAACACTAATATAATAGAATAGACTAATGATTCTCACGGACTACCTTTATAGCGATATATATGTTGATCAGTTATTGGAAGAACTTAAGCTTTGATAAATGTGAACCATATGTACAGTATGCATCATATTGAATGATATTGATACAAATTAATTTGTATAATTTTCAGTTTGAGAATAAAATAAACGACATACCTTAATTAATAGTGAAAACCAAATGTCGACGATCTAAATATTATCTCTATTCCGAATCGGTAATGAAATCACTGATATCACTGTCATCCTCAGATTCATTTTGGTTTACTGAAATTATCAGTCTGTCGATTTCATTGTCTATTATATGGTCTTTTTCCCAGTAATCTTGTTCGACCTTTTTGACATGTTCACAACATTTCTTCCATTCTTCTGCAGTGTATGACGTAAACAGACTGTCACAAAGTCTCATTTTTTGGTCCAATGTCTTTGCAGCTACATCTTTAGCAACCTGTATAAATAAATACTTTTTAAATCCCATACGAACACGTAATTTCTTTACATTTTACGTTGGTTTTTATACTGTTACAATTATATATATTAAGCCTACACGTACTATAATTATTAATTATACTAAATACTATAACTTGTTATTATAATTCAAACCAATTATGTGTTATAATGCTATATTAATATAGGAATTCCCGTAAAAGGTTATGTGTAGTTGGCTTAATACTGTTGTGTTAAAAAGTACTTTTAAAAAAATATATTAAACGCACTCCACCTATTTTCATATTGCCTCTTCCTCGACAACCGGATTGGAGTTATGAAAACAATTTTAATACACTTGTAAAATATATGACAATAATAAAACATAAATTAAGCCTACCTGTCCTTTTATAGCTCCCCATACCAACTCAATGGGGTTGAGGTCGGGGTGATATGGTGGCAGTCGCAGCACTTGATGTCCAAAATTGTTAATAAGCTGGTCTATTTTGTACACCGGCTCCCTCTGGACGTTTTGCACCAACATCAAAAGTTCTACTTTGGTAAAATTTTCGTCATAGTCAATGTTGTGTTTATGAAGCCAGTCTTGAATGTTCTTCTTCAAAGAACCACTTGTTGGTTTTTTGTCTTCCTCTACGCAATGGTATTTTGCATTGTCCATCACTATAACGCTTGGTTCTTCAAGATTCGGCAACAGTTGTTTTTCAAGCCATTTATTGAAATTTTCATAGTTCATGGACTCATGATAATCGCCTGTTTTTTTATGTGCTTTGAAAATTGCCAAACTGTCCCTTACAAATCCATTTTCACCGCCACCGTGTGCAATTATCAGCCGTTCGCCTTTCCCAACAGCCTTGGTTACGCCGGGTTCCTCAGGACTTTGCCAACATTTACTTACTGTATGGTTCGCATTAACGTAAGTCTCGTCGATGTAAACAATTGGAAAGCCTTCTGATCTACATTTCTTAATTTTTTTCAAATATCGAATTCGCCAATCAACGGTTGAAGGGATTTCTACCAATAGTTTTCTTCTAGACTGGCATCCAACCCATTTAAAGCCCAATTGTTTTAACACAGATATTAAGTACGTCCTTCCACATGTTAAAATGTCTGCTTCCTCAAGAGCTGAAATGAGTGTCTTCACAGTAGGCAATTCTTTTTTTAAGATGTACATTTCCTGTATTTTCCTTCTAATAGCGGCTTTAGTAAAATCATCAACTTCAATTCTTTTTTTTCTTTCAGTCTTTTTGCCTGTAGGTGTAGAAAAGGTCAACTGTCCTCGGATTTCAATCGCTCTTTTTCCCTCACGAATAATTTGTTTTACGAGGGTTTGCCCAATACCTGTAGCTGTTGATGTTTCCTCGGCCAAATTAAATGTCAAATCATGTTCTTTCCTCATACCTTTCAAGTGTTCTGCAACTTTATACACAATTTCTCTTGCCTGCTCTCCAAGAGGTCGACCAGATACAGAAGAAGATTTTGATGTCGCCATTACGTTTGTCAACAAACACAGGTCATATACCAATCTACCACAATTTCAAAAAACGATTTACTATTAAATAGCTACCGTAACTATAAAATAACTGAACAAAACTATTCCTACCTACTAAACTATCACTAACTATCACTAAATATTAACAATTATAAACGTTGTTGCAACTTTCAACAAAATGAAGGGGGAAATCTCGAGACATAAAAAGAGAGTCCGCGTGGAGGATTCAGCGCAGGGTCGTACTGACTCGTCACAACAATGCTTGTCAACAGATGTTAAATCACGATTATTAAAACAGAAACGGTATGTACCATAACTAATGATGTCACTAGCGTAAACACAATTGAGCATTACCATTGACTATACATTACCATTGACCTGTTGGTATATTAGTCAATGGCATTACTTAAAAGGAACTGTGAATACAGTTATATAGTTATTGTTGCGAATTTCCCATATAGGGCTTTCCTCTGCAATGATCACATTTCCATCTTTCCTAGTAAAAATTGTAGCACTTCGGCTAACATCCTCGTTCATCTTTGGTAGGAATGTGAATCTTGTAGGCCTAGGTGTTCTTCATTATACAGGCTAATAACGATAGTAAATTCTTAAAAAATATTATCTTTATTTCTTTTACTCGGTGGCGTTCTATGACTTTTATGTTTCATGGGTTCTTTCAGTGATTAATTTCTAAAGATTTAGTTTTTTGTAGGACGCATTTCTTTGAATTGCAGCTTAAATATTAACAGCAATTAAATTATACAGCTGATCAAAATGTAAACTAGGGTTGCTTTCAGATAGGTGAAAGCCAGTTATATGGTGCAACACAAATAAACAACTCGATCACCTACTTATAACCTACACTTTACCTCCCTAATCTAACTTTACTTCAAAACTTTTAATGTAGTCATGAATACTCATAAACCCCGACCTACCTTCCCCACATGCCTAAATTAGATCAGTGTTCAATCTGCGTTTTATTAATAAGTGTAATATAGCTGACTGCACCGTCGATGTAATTCAACATAATATAACCTGTGATGTATTATCGGATTAAATATCGATTTCGATGCGGTTCGATATATCGCTTATTAAGTCCTGATTTCTAACATTTGCTGTTTCTGATCAGCTGGCAACACAAATAGGTTCCCAAGAAAGTAGTCACTGGTCCGTATCCCTCCGCTCCTTGTTTATGCTCTGCGCATTGAGAAAGTAGTTCCGTATATTTTCTCGATTTTCAGTGAGTTCCGCGCCTTAAAAAAGTGTTTTAACGGCATTTTCTTGTTTATTTAAATCATAGGAATGGTTTAAAAACGTTTAAAAGAAAAGTCTAGAAAGTTTGGAAATACCTTATGATTCCCTTGTTTACATTTTTCTTGTAAACAAAAAACTGTCATATGGCTACTTTTATCCCATAAGCCTAATGTTAAAATTTGAAAAAAATAGATCCTGCAGTGTGAAAACGGACGTTGGCGGAGAGGGGGAACATACCCTCCCTCAACGTTACCTCCCCTACATGCGCTAAAAATTTCGCGCAGGTCGTTTTCTAAACGGTTTACCTATAGTACCTCTATTTTTTCAAGGAAAATTACTTCCATCTCTTTATAAAAATAAACAAAAGTGAGTTTCCAATTGGTCAAAGAAAAATTTTGCATATACACAAAAAGTGTAGTTATTGATACACAAAAGAAATAAATGCAGCTCTTGAAAGTGTTTGAGTATGCACGTTCATTTTCGCTACATTTTTATCTCTGAATCATTTTACCACTGAACTTTTACTATACAAGGGCCATCTAGAAAGTAAAGTATAGCAACAGAAGTTTGGCATTGGTGCCAATTGGGGCGGTTCTATTGCCTCCCTTGGATCAAAGTGTTCATACACTCAGTATAGAAGCTGGTCTTTGTGATCAGTTTTTTTTTTTTTTTTTTTTTTTTTTTTTTTGAGAAAAATTACAAGCCACTTGAAAATGATTGTCAGGTTTGAGCTCTTTATGTCAAATGATCGAAGGCTGGGTGAAAAATTGTGCACTGACTTTAAAAATGGCTTAAAACTTGGTTTACACTTTTGAAGTAGCCTTCCAGCAATGTCTGTGTTGCAGCAAGTCTCTGTTTTTGTGATCATCCGTTAAAATCTTTGAATCCCACGGGGCACAAAAATTAATTGTGGTGACCAAGTTTTTTGCACAATTTTATGCACCAGACTCTGTAAAATTTGGAGAAAATGTTTTCCATAGTTGTGAAATGGCAATTTCCGCAGATTTTATTGTTGACTTTCTCTACCAGTTTAACAGTCACTACCCTAACGGTCCTGATTGTGAACATTGGTTCGGATATTTTTAAAGTTAATGCTCCACTGTCTCACACAGCCTTCACTCATCCCTTTTTTTGCCGTAATAATTTCATTTCACTTTTTTGCCAACAAAAACTGATCACAGAACAAACCTCACAAGCGGTATTTGCAATGGCAGCGGTAATTCTAACACTTCACTGCAGAAAAAGTACTAAACATACAACACGCACATTCTTGAAGCTGAATGAGCGCTGAGTGCTGGAAAGGAACGCTTTGATAATAAGATGGCGGCGATAGCACCGCTCCAAGCATTGCCAATGCAATATGTCTGTTACTTTCTGAATGGTCTTCGTAGCTGAGTAACTAACTGCCCGCATTTAAAGCCTGGTAAATAGTAGATTGCAGTTCAATATGATGTTAAATTAACAACCAAACACCTTATTTTTGATAGTTTTAAACTGAGTGCTGCTGCTGCCTTTGATCATCGTTATTCCAATAAATGGTTCTGACTTAAGTTCTTGTTTCTGTTATTAACAAGGCTTAATTTATTCGAAATTAGTTCTTGATAATATATACCTGCTCATGTATATCAAAATCCAATCTAAATATTGGTGTGTTTATATAACTATTGACTAAACACAGAACTATATTCTGTGTACAGTCAATGATATAACTCAGATCTAATATTTTGGGTGAAATCAACTATATGTCACATTTCAAACATAAAATGATCATACTTTGCCCTTATACTTTAGAAAACACTAAACCTAACAAATATGAAACTTGTTACTACTATGGTACATAAATGATTCAATTTGAGATATATGTGTTTCAGTCGCTGTTCTGGGTTCGGCTCTCATCACATATCATTTGTGGATTGCTCATTGGGATTATTTACTATCAGATCGGCAATGAAGCCTCTAAAGTGGTCAGCAACTCAAGTTGTCTGTTTTTCACTGTTCTCTTCCTCATGTTTACTGCCATGATGCCTACCATTACAACATGTAAGTAGTGTTGTATACAGACTTTTAATTGTGGACAGAAATTTCTTGGCGGTTCACTAAATTTTTATACTTAATAGTGACAGCATAACTTGTAATTGACAAAGCCATATCGGTAGCTAGATTTTGGAAAAACGAAGTCTGATTTCCGGACACGGAAAGTAAGTACTTGTAATTGAAAGTTTACCTAATCTTGAAACAGTCAAAAGGTCATCAGTAAATCTTGTTTGTGGTTAACTACCTTGTAATATTAATTCTCACATGGCTTTTAGTTGAGGGATGCCTCCAATGTTGTATATGTTTTCTAGATATGTCGTAAATCTTTAGGTAAACTCTGAACCTTTGGTCCACATTATTACCAATGAACCAAAAGCCATTTATGATTGGCGGGATTCGGACCCGCAGGCTTCCAGGACGGATAGCCTGTGTTCTTATCACTAGAAAGATCACAACCACAGGAATTCAAGAAACCAATTTTTTTCTTGAAAAGAATGTCAATGTATATTTTGTCTCAACAAACTGTAGTAGTGTGTTGACTTCCTTTGCAGCTAACATGTTAGTACAAAAATTCTTCAAGTCTCAAAGGCCATCAAGCTCTAGCAAACCTAATACACTTGGAAAATACAACATGTTTTAAATATTAATTCGTGACGGTATCGGTATGAATGTGCTTTTGACTGTAGAATGTTTTTCATTTGCAGTTCCCATGGAGAAAAAGGTTTTCATCAAAGAACACATGAACCACTGGTATTCTCTCATATCATTTTACTTTGCAAAAACCATAGCTGACATTCCATTTCAGGTAATAATTACTTGTGGTGTACAATGTTTATTTATAAATGTGTACTAATTAGATCTACTCTAAAATAAAATTAGTTTTGTTCAAGGAAAGGCTCTAGGCCAGGATTTTGAATTGTAGAAAAAGGAGGATAGCAGCTAATTACTACTCTAAATACAGTAAATCTGAATTCCCATTGACAATGCTATGATTGTTTCGTAACAAATTAAGAGTCTTCATCACCCTCGGTCTAGTTGCGTTTTGGGAAGGTTGTGTGGGGTCGTTATGTGCGCCATTCTGAAAACATCGTAAACACTTGCCTACTAAATACGCAACTCTGTATCTACACACGCAGAGCGGCAAATTTCTGTACCTTTGTCCATTGAACAGAAAATATCGATCTTATTGATCTTTCTATTTCGATTAGTTCTTAATTGTCTTTGAGAGTCAAAAATAGCGATTCAGCCTTACAGTTATGGACATGTGTGTTTATAATATCTGTAGCCTTTATTATTAGATGATGATATGTTGTTACTTTTCAATTGCTATAAAATAGCAATGTTTTGCCCTGTTTAGAGGGTTGATGAAGACTCTTTGTTTTAAAATGTTTATTTAGAAAGAACAAATCATACGGCTAATAAAGCTATAGACACAGAGGCCTATTTACTTAACTTACATCATTAGACTTTAATGGATAAAGAAAACAAGTCACACAGCTTTTATTGATATTCTAACCTTAAGTATCACCTCCTAAGTAAGTAGATAAAATAAGCTTTAACTTAGTTGCTAGACTGCATCTCTGTCCATAAAAAGTCATTTTCTAATTTCTAATAAGTCCAACAACTTATAAAGGCGTATGGATGGTAAGGCTTAGTTTTATACATATCAGACATTTAAGAGTCAATGCATTCACAGTATAATTTAGTTTCTTTGTTTGTGTGGTAAATTTGATTGTTTTTTCTTCTGTGTAGATCCTTTTTTCTTCAATATACGTAACAATCGTATATTTTCTCTCGTCACAACCAAATGAGTGGTTCCGTTATCTGATGGTTCTGGCTATTGGTTTCCTAGTCTCTTTGGTTGCTCAAAGTCTCGGGCTCTTCATCGGGGCTTCCTTAACAGTAGAGGTATGACCTTAAAATATCTATGATAAAAATGTTTCTTGTATGAAAAACACTACCTAGTTAAAAACTCTAGATGAATCATTGTTTTGGTGAGAAAATAATAGCTTTGGTGAGAAAATAATAGCTTTGGTGAAATCCATTTAATTTGTAGACCCTCCATTTTAGTAATACTTCAGAGATGTGTTGTCCAGATTTACTTTGTACATACTAAGTCACAGATTTGATGCATTTGGAGCACTTTATCTTGATTTTATATTACGTTACTAGTCCGGAAAATAGGTGTGTACCGGACAAGTATGGTTGTTATGATTGCCATACGAATACGGTAAACATATTTGAAATGAAATGAAATTAAATTAAAAATTCTTTATTTTACCAGGCACTGTTAGGGCTACATGGCCCTCTCTTACACTTACCCCTTTTGGGACGATTGATGTTCGATATTTTTCGCCATACTACTCTAAACTAACCTTGCAATAAAAAAAAACTGTATAAATTCTCACTGAGAATTTGTACAGAGTATGACTAAGTTGTTTGCGTAGCCTTGTTACTGACTAAGATCAGTTGATTTATAAGCCAGTATCATTTATTTAAAGTCCAATGACAAATCAACAAAAAGCTACTGACTGCCTATTCTCAGGATCGAACAGGCGACCTTTGATTGTTAGGCAAACACTTTAACCTCTCAGCTACCCAGCCGGTCGTATCCATGCCTAGAAATATCTTTATAAAAAATAAAAATAGTAATTAGTATCTCTTATGATTTAATGAAAAGATTTACACCTCAAGTATAAAATTTAAATAGACTATACTAAATTGAAACCTTGACATTTATTTATAATAATTATTTTTTTGGAATTTTTAAGACAAAACCTAGATGATTTGGAAAGAGTGGTTTTTTATTGAACCAACATTTTTAGATTCCGGAACAGAAATCATGATTTTAAATAATAAAAGTCTGACTCTTTAACAGTGCTGCCATATCAGTTAACAAAAACAACATTATCTATCTCAACTCAATACAACGCAATTGCAAAATACCACGATACACTTTACTTTTACTTTTTTCATGCAATGCAATTTCAAACATGAAAAATTAAAATAAAATCACCTTTATATTGTTGATTGAAAATTAGAGAAATCTTCACGAAACCTTTCGAAAATACCTTATAAAATTGTAGTGTGAAACATGGTACCCACACATCCTTGAAAACATTGTTGTACAAGGGGGTTAAGTGACACATTATTCAATATTAATTTTATATCCCCCTTTATTGCAAGGGTTTTTTTTATGGTACGGTTGGCAAACACTTCGTATGGTACTGTAAAAGATTTTTTTGTTAAACCAAACTAAACACTATAACACTACAAGTCAATACAATGTTTTTAGTAAAAAACAAAACCAACGTCACAAAAAAGTTCTGTATTTATTTCCCCAAAAACACCTGTAGCTCATAACAAATGCACCAAAAACACTTTAATTTACTTTGAATGTTTCTATGGTAAACATTCATGATACATAATAAAATTATCAATACTCGTATGACAACCCCCAGTCATATAGTCCCAATAGTCGTATCATACTAAAAATAGTCATATAGAAAATAGTTATTATAGCCAATCAGTCCCGATTTTTCTATGAGCAATTTAGCGACGTTTCTAAACAACCATTTTAAACATTCAATACTGTAATTTTAACTAGAACTAAATACATAATTAACTAAACGTTTCCAAAAATATTTTGTGAAATGGTAATTGAACTGGTACTTATAGTGTCTGAAAAGTTAATTATGCACTAATTTATCCAAACATAGAATAGGTTGTTATTTTTATCAGCGAGTTAAAGGAAATTCTTACAAGACAGACCAGTATGTTTATTGTTACATTTTCGTAGCTAATTATAATCAATTTTACAAAAGACATTGTACCTACCATATATTTAAAATTTTCACTCAAACGTCTGTTTAACAATATACATACCAATAATAACACAATACAAATAACAATATATTGACATTTTCTAGAGGCTTGTTTCACTCGAAGCGATTCCTTAACAAATCCAGTGGCCTTCCTTGACCCGTTTACTGGTTAACCGTTTGGTTAGATCCATCAGTGCGTCGTGGCTGTGGAGTATAGATTGGATATCTGTCCATAATGTCCTCATTTCGCTATCAGCAGGATCTATCACAGGATCCCCGTTACCTTTGTAAACCTTAAACATATCCTCTAAGTCTCCTGAAACCACACAGTTGAAGATGTTACTAAGTTCAAATCTGGTCGGCATATAGACTAATAGCTCAACCTTCCACAAATCTGACATCTTCTTGAGTGATATTTCTTTGTACGCTATATAGTTTCCATTTTCCATAAAATGCAAAATGGCGACGAGATTCATTTCCAAGTTGTAAGTCATCTTGTGTTTGTATATTTGGAGTCCTTCAGTTTTCCATAAATTTGGAACATCGTATTTTACAGGAGATGTTACTTCTTCTGATTTTGTATCCTCATGGATCAGTTTGAAATTAGTTAGAGCTGCCTTGAATTCCACAGATTTCATGCCAAACCGCACCTCGTCTTTTATAACAAGAAGAAATGGATCAAACTCTTTTGCGATCTCCTCTTTCAAGACATCTATCACTTTTGGATCTCCAGACTTCTGTTTCATTGACGCCACTAGTTCTTCACTCAAGCCATATCTGTTCTGAGGATCTCCAGCAACTGTTTCCGCCAAACACAAGAGAAATGTAATGAGACACCACACGGCCAGCATCGCGTCTTCTCTCTGACTAAACATAACGAGTGCCGAGCAGATACAGTTTAAAAATTGATCAATAATCATTAAATGTGCAAAACAAGATACACGTATGCGAGCAACTTACACCTGTTAATACTTCACGTGTCATACATGTGCGAATAACAAATTAAATTGAAAATTTATTGCAGCAATTTAAAAAATTAGGTCACATTTCTCAGCCAAATGGAATATTACTAGCTGTACCTGTCCTTCACAACACAAAGTCAATTCGCTGTAGACTAACGTAGTCGTTAAGGAGGAGAATTTGAAAACATTATAAGTGAAATTGAATGAAAACGTACTTTATTATTACAGATAAACCTTGTTATATTTATTTGTTAGATATGTGAAAAATAACTAACTTCATGATTCAATTCAAAATCTAAACAAAAACAATCAACTGTAAGCAAAAGAATTTTGTAAGCAGAAGAACATGTGATGTCATACATGAATGGCCGCAATTTGTATTAGTACATTTTAGAAACTTATACTTTGTGCGAACGTTTGTTATATTAGTTACAAATAATGAATTAAGTTTGAAGTCAACCGCCTAAGGGGTTCAAAAGTTATAAATACATTTGTAAAAATACCATAGACAGACAGACAGAAAACCAGTCATTTTAGACCCATGTTGATTGATGGTTTATCTTTGTTTTATTCCAGAGAATTTGTATACACACTGTATAAATCCTATACTAATACGAGTAACGTTATAACGTTATTATAACACGAGACACTGGATAACGTATAACATATTTTTCTTAGTAAAATCTTATTTACGCTAATCTTATTTAGATCCAAACATAAACATTTTAAATGGTTTTCGAACACCCCTATTTGTGTAACGTTAGGTAAAATGAAGCATTTGGTATGTTGAAACATAGTTCGGTTTTAAGTAGTAACCAATCTACTAATAAAATAGTATTTTTTTTAATTATTTGCTTATGCTTGTATTGATATTTAAGAAATGTAGGTTTCAATTTGCTTCAAAATGGTCCTGATATTATGTCGTAGCGTTTACCTTTTGTGCAAGATCTTCAGTTCACAAGATCGCAAGATTTTGTATTTTTAATTTCTGCCCTTGGTAGGTCAAGAGGTTGGATCAAAGTTTATGTTTTTGACCCCTGGACTATATTGTTAAGACAATAATAGGTTTTACATACCTCTAATAGTACATCACACTTGCTCCAATCAATTTGACTATTTGATGGCATGTATGCTCATCATGAGTTGTTAGACATGAGTTGACTATGACTAAAAGACTTAACAATCACTACTCACTTTTAAGAGAAATTATGTTTTTGTTTATTGATTTGTTATGACTTGTTGTCAATTATAATCAGCTGGTGTAAGGTACAGAGAAAACATTCAATAGTACATTAAGTAGTGCCGTAGTTCCTAGCACTAGCGCTGGTGTCTAAGGGGGAGTCCAACACTGTTCCTCTTACCCATATGTAGGCTACTACAACGCTCGTGGTGGAAGAAGACCCTGTGCCCTGTGCAAGGAATTTCCGCAGAGTGTTTGCTGTTTGGGCTCTTCATTGTTCGTCACAAGTATATTTCAGGCACAGCATACCAAAGCTGAAGGTGTGCGGGTGTCCTATAAGGGTGTTTCCTCTGTACCTTACTTTTCTGTGGGGTAGGTAAAAACGTATTAACTGAGCTAAAAATATTTATCTACGATTATCATAAAGTGTTGTTATTTAATAGTAACATATAAAGAGCATTATATTAACCTGGTAATTCTTCGTTTACTACTTATTATATATTCTTAACATTTTCATTATAAGCTTGAGCTAATGTGTAGTTTGGTGTACTGTGCATTTTGTAAGTTCACAATTTCAAATTTTTCCCTTCAATGAACGAACATGAACAAATAATCTTTTGCAGAAAGGAGTATACATTGGACCTGTCTTGAACGTGCCAATTCTACTGTTTTCCGGTTTCTTCGTCAGCATTAACAGTATACCTGGTACATTACGTTGGCTGTCTGAAATCTCATACATCCGTTACGGGTTTGAAGGCACAATTCAGGCTGTTTACGGCTACAACAGAACCAACCTTCATTGTTCAGAACCTTACTGCAACTTCAAATCTCCGGTGAAATTCCTCCGAGAAATGGACATGGAGGATGCAAACTTTACAACTGATTGTGCAGCTTTGCTTGTGTTCTTTCTTCTTTTAAGGATTCTCTGTTACGTGGTACTCAAGTGGAATTTGTACTTACGGAATTAGTGTGATTGCCTTTCATGATTAGATGTTAAACTATGTGATATTGTACCTAGTATGTATAGGATTTGAACACTTTTTAAGACCAATGTTTTTATACCAAGTGGAAAAAAACCTTGATACACAATCAAAGAGGAAATTGATTTTTAAATTTGTAATTAATGGTTTGTACATCTTTTTAAATGTATAAACTTTTATAACAGGCTTTTTTGACTAAACAACAACTGTTCATATGAATGATTAAAAAGATAAAACAGGTCAAAAGTGTCTAAAAAGTTAACAAAGATGATGTTTTTTATCCAGAAAGAATTGTATTGAGTATTGATTCTTTGTTTGTTTAGTTATTGGCATTTCAAGGTAGCGTAAAAGAAATTGTGCTGGTATTCGTAGTTTTTAGTCAACTGATTTCCCAAGCTAAATTTACTCAACTGTTTGAAATATTACCTGAAATATAACATATTGACAGTAGAATAGTCAACAGTTGTCCGTGAGGAATGAGTCAATCAGGTACATTTCCTTATGTGTACTACAAAATGCAGCAGTTTTAGTGGTTTTTTTTATTGGTATTTTTTTATGTGTATTATGTATGTAAACCTTTTTAAATTGTCAATATTATTGATGAAGCTAGCTCAAATAGATTTTGTAGGGATAAGAGCTGTATGACAGTGAAATGTTAGAAGTAAAAAAATCAAAGTTTAATAATAACAGATAAATAGCATATTTTGGAATGTTAAGTCAGTGTTTAGTCTTCCAATAGTAAGTCATAATAAATCAGAAGTAAAAGTCGGTGTTCATCAGTTTTCTCATGAGTATTCTGTTGTTTAGTGAAACCGAACAGTATTAAGTATTACCAAAGTATAAAGTAACTGAGTATTAGATTTTAAAGTAACAGTGTAGTGTATTCTCAATATCACTTATATTAGCCAACATTTAAATTTACCATACTGTTTAGAATGTAATATATAAAAATTAAATATCCAACAATTGTGTTCACTATTTTATTTTTTGTAAATACTTAAATTAAAAAAAATGTTATTGTATTTTTGTACCACTGAAAACTATACCAATAAGCTTTGTACATGAATTTTGAAAAATATTTTCCATATCAACTTATTTTTTTCATCAAATTTTAACTTTTTCATCTTCAACAAGCATTAATTTTCTGTTATTTTTTATTCTTATGGTGTTAATGATTCAGGATTCCAGACATACATAATCTGGGCCAAAACAAACTTCAAAAGTTCAGTTAAATAACGACCAAAGGTTTCACTTTTTAGCGAATTTTCCATATAGGGAATAAGCTATTACCGTAGTACTCATAGTAAGACCTGGACCCGGGACCGATTTACTTTTTCGTTTTGAGGTCCCTAGAGGCCAAAAACACCATCCGTTCAAATTCATATATATATATATGTGTCCGTTAGCGCGATAACTCGGGCAAAAATGATCCGATTTTCATTAAATTTGGTATAAACCTGTAAAGCTACATTTATTCGAACGAGTTCGCGAACCAGCATGATCGGACTATGGGAACGGGGTTTTATATGGTTTTATGGGATAAAAATAGGTTTTTCCCATTTTTGACCCTAAAAACACAAATTTTTGGAAAATACTTTAATTTCTTACTCAACTATTAAGACTTTACAAAAAAAACACTTTTACCCTCCCTGTTGCAGCAAACCTAAGTACTCGTTAAACTAATTCTATTTAAAAAGAAAATAAATGTGATATTTTTATGGAGGCAATTTAGTGTAAATCCGATCAGGTTAATGGAAATTCGCTTAGTCTGCAGTTTGCTGCGGCGGGGGTATTTTTATTGTACTATGAGTGCTGATCATCTTTGGTTTTAACACCATAGGACCAAGAACAGTTTATAGATATTTAATTGTAATTGACTATAGACGTTTTTAATTTGATAAAATAATAAACGAGCTAATAATGAACTTTAAAAATACTGCATATTATCCTTCAAGTAATTCATAAGGATGGCAAATCAACAATGAAATATGTTGAATCACTAGTAAGTAATATTATGTTTTTGCATTTCACCAAAGATATATTTTGTCTCCTTTAGTTTGCGTGTCAACCTTTACAAAAGTAGAAAATTTGTATTGTAGTCGTGCTAGAATTATGGAGTACTGTTTATAACAAGTAGACATTCGTTAAGAAATTTTGTAATTTGTTCATAGTTTATTATCAAAAGTAGACCTACCGTAGTCTAAATTGTTTAGAGAACAAGTTGTATTCCCAAGGCCTAATGTAAACAGTTTTTTGTATTCTATTTATATTTCATACCTATTAACATGAACGTTCTTTACAGTTTTTAAACATAACTTTTCAATCATAAATGATTGCTAACAGTTCATTTTAAATCAAAATATTTTCGCAATTTACAGGATGCTTTTGTAAGAATTTCAATTAGAGTAAGAAAGTTTCTATGTGCAATATTTATAATTATTAAAACAGATTGAAAGTATTTTTAGCATTTTTCTTGGTGCTATAATTTTAAGTCCTGGTATTTGTATGTGTAAATGATAAAGCTAAAAGCGATGCTATAAAAAGATTAACTTCTTTTGCATATGTTAGATTGTCTGGAGTTATGAGTGCAGTAAACGTGTAGACGCTCTGTCACATATAGATTCATTTTGAGTAAGATTTTGCATGATTCATAGGAACCTGGTTCATACCACTACTACACTCAATAAAAAAAAAATCAAGTCCAATATGTTCGTCTATCAAGAGTCTTCACTTATAAATACTTTATTTCCAGTTTTCATTTATTGTTTGGTGCCTTAGTTAACAGACTTTATAAACATAATGCATGATGCCCATTAACTGTGTTTTGTTCAAACAACTTTTTTTGTTTTTTATTAGAAAGGTCTAAAATCTTATTGGTGTTATGAAGCTCTGGATTTCCCATGGCCAACAGCTCAATCTTGTTAATGCTAGATTATTTGCTTACAATCTGCTTAATGTAACATATAAATTTATTTATGAATAATGAGACGGTTTCAGGAATAAAAAATCATAATCAAACTAAAACATTTATATTGTAAAAGATTGGAAAATTTACAGTCGTTGAATCATTAAAATGTAGGTGGTGGCCAAACGTGTTTGAATCAATATGAAAATGCGGATCTTTAATCAATCAACATTATTTGATCTTAAAGGTAATACTTGGATTTAATAAATATAAAATAGTAATACTGATTATGCAATATAACGTATACATCAGAAGTTAGCTATCCTAAAAAAGGTGAATAAAAATTGTTTTTAATTCAGATCTAGAACAGTCTTAGAAATTAAGTCACAACAAGATTTTTTTGGCAAGAAACCTAAATAAAAACTTAAAACTATAAATATCACATAAAGAAATAGTCACAACGAGTAATAAAAGACAAGAAAGTTTTGCTAGTTCACTACAAAAGGCAAGTCATGGTGTATGCATTTAATAATTTTCATTGTATATTCGTTTGTTTCATTTTCAAAACTAATACATGAACTAAACTCAGTCGCACTTGTTTAAAGTAATTTTGAAAAAAAAATGTTTTTAACCAAGTTGTACAATGTAAAACAACATTGGAAAACAAGGAAATTAAACAGTGCAAAAGAGTTTAGCCGAACCTCAGTTACCAGAATTGCATTTGCAAAAGTAATTTATATGTGATAGTTTTGTGATGCATTCAAAATTACGTTTATCTTCAACATTCTCTAACCAAGAACAGAAATAATCAAATGCAAATTTTCTGGTAACCCTAATCTCTCGTCAACTCAAACTTAAAGGTATCTAAATCGCTCTAATCTTTCATTTCTTTGAGGGTAAACTGAGCGGAATTCTGTTTGGATGAATTCCGAGTCTGGGTCCATCATGATGAGCTGTTGGTGCTGTGATTGGTCAGCGAGGTAATCGTTCACTTTGGTGTCTTCGCTCAAGTCGTGGAAGTTCTCTTTGTGCGGACCGAACTCATCTACAGAGAAATCCTCGATTTCGTTGAGTGAAGGATCCAACTCAGGGTTCATCTCGTATTGGACCTGATAAGGAACGGAGTTGTAAAGCGTGCACTGCTGGATCCGTCTACATTTTGCCTTCAACAGTTTTAACGGTGTTTGATCGTTCAACAATATAATGAACAACTCACCAAAAGGCTAAAAATTAAGTCTCATGATTAAGATCTCTTTCGAAGCATTGAAATAAAGTTTGGAAAATAGTAGATGCAAACAGATTGAAAGAGGTTTACAATTTGAGTCTAGATTATGTGTTAGGAAAGTATTGAGTAAATTGGCTGCAACATTATAAATTAAAATGTGTAGTTTGTCACTGTAATACTAGTTGCAATATACATTCAAAATAGGAGTAACAAATTATAGTTGCATTTTATTGTATGGTTGATATATCAATTTGCAAAGGTTTTATTTTAATTGTTTCCGGAATAAAAGTAAGAAACTTCCATACTTCCAGTAAAAATATGAAATAATCCAGTAAAAACCATTGTTCAGTAATCCATGTTTATAAAATGCAAGTACAATATTTTTGTTTGCTAACTTTTAGAGTACAGTACCTAGCTTTTGACAAGAAAATAATTCAAATAGAGCATCTAAACTGTATTTTTTCATTTTCTAAAAATGCAAAATAATTGAGGCAAAATGTAAACGAATCATTAAAAGTGAACATGCATCCATCACCATAATACAGTAAAAGAAACCATACGAAAATTTTCAGAAAAAAACCATCTTTGAATGTCTTCAAATGTTATAAATATCTCTTTTTGAAAAAATACTGTAAAATTAACTTTTAGGAGAGTTGATATTGGAAAAAAATAGTAGAACTGAATACCGTACTCTATGACCAATATTGACCATTAACAAAAAAAAAAAACAGCAAAGTAATATCAAGGAGTGTTACAGCAAAAACAATTAACACCAAAACGTTTAATAATCTGAGCGAGAAATTACGTTTTGTTACCTCTACCACCAGATTACACAAAAGTAATATTAATAAAGTAAGATGTAAGTACAATCAATGAATATCAGCTGTTAACAATCAGTTATTCAGAATACTTCTGCCTTCACCAAAGGTTATGAGGTTCATGATATGGTTAAAAAACAAACCAACATATTTATAACAAGTATTTATTAGTATTTCCATACTATAAAACATACATTAAACAGCTGTTTAATATTTTAAGTGTAAAGCTACCGTTAACAATACATACATTAAACACATGTTACTAAAAAAGTAAAAAAACAACTCAGTTAAAATTAAAATGGATGAACTTTAGTCTTTTAAACTACATGAAGTTTGGTCATATGGCATCGGATTGAATCCGGTTTACAATGCGTTAGTTATGGTTAACTCTCAAGCGTTTAAGTCGTCGACTTCGCTACCTACCTTCGCATTGGGAATTTCGTTTGTTTCTTCATGATTATCGTCCAATTCCGACCTACTGGTTGTGGGTTCGCGCTCAGCAATTTCAGGTTCTACGGGTTTCTCAGGTTCTTTCTCAGATTCTGTTTCCTCGGTTTCTGGTGTCTCGGAAGGATGGACTTCGACTACCTTGATACGGAAGACTGCTCCCATGTTGTCATCTCCACTTGAGAAGGTTGTCTCATTGACTGTCACGACATGTCCGTCAATCACCTAAAAAAGTTAAATAAAATAAGTAACATAAATATCTTTATTACCTATCGTTAGTGCCAGTTGCGATACTACTTGTTGTTTACAAAAAATAATTGTGTCTTTTTCTGTAACTTTTAAAAATGTATTTATTTATCCAGTGATCTATGTCTAAATTATCGGGAAATATAAAAGGACTGTCAGCCGACCATAGGTCCCTGTCACTGTCTATAGGTCCATATAGATGGGAAGTGGCATCAGAATCCAATAATCAATAGATAAGATAAAGTCACCTGTTTCATTAGTACTAGATCTGTGAGGTTTAATTGTGATTGTTAAATATTGTACAATTCCATTCCGCTCAGCAACTGAAGTTATCAAATTTCAAATAGTCATTGGTTATTCAACATTTAATGGTTTATAATGAGCCATTTTAAAAGGGGGGGGGGGGTCAATACTAATGATACTACTTTTTATTTTACAGATATTTTTGTGGTGCTAAGCATAATTAATTGTCATGATGCAGTGATAGTAGGATAGTGTGAATAATAATAGTCCCAGATAATTTCTGGTACCTAGAATTCAAGAAATCAAGCGCTGATATCAATTATAGGATGGCATTAACTTTTTCTTGCTGCCTTATATGTTTCTTATAAAGTTATTTTTTATGTACGGTATAGAGCCATTCAATAAATCAGGCAAAGTAAAGTGTGTTTCTATAATATTTGCTGTCAATGAAAAAATATGAAAAAAACTTGTAAGATGTAAGCAACTTAATTTTAAAACAAAAAAAGTAAACTGTGTTAGGCGTGAGGCCGAATTTCGGAAATCTTAAACAATCTGCATTTCAAAGAGTCTATTTGTCACCACAACTCCCAAATTAGGATGCTGCTGGTTCTGACCTGAGTAAGATTAAATTCAGATACTATTTGTCATTGGACTATCAATAAAAAAATTTACAAAAGATTGGTGTTAGATTAGTAGTAGATCAAGGTTTGGGCCATTCTATTGGAAAAATTGTTAATTGCGTTTCAAACACAAACACAATATAAATACCAACTTTATATATTTTCTGTATGTTTTCAACCATTAGTTAAGTGTGAGGATAAAATCATCATGCCATGACTGTAATTAGTAAGTTACTTACCTTGGTAGTGGAAGTAGTCTTATTCTTGGGAGCATCGTCAGTTCCACCGACCCTGGTTCCAACACTGTCATCTACTTCAATCTCCGGGAACTGTGGTCGGTTCTTGTGGAGGAGCTCTGTGACCTGACGTCTCATGTCGTTCAGCATCTCTGTGAATCAAAATATCTATGAGACATGTTATATATTGTTATAGGTGTGGAACTATGAAATGTTTTTTAAAGATCTTGGAGGAGAACACAGACTGGAGAACTGAGAAGAAGGGTTACTATTACAGAGTAAATCAAGGTGGGATAGGATTTTGAATGGAGGGACCAAAAGAATAGGTGTAAGCTAAAGATAGATTTAAAGGGAGAGTAACTTATATGAAAAAGAGCAAGACTGTTTGGTCTAGATGTGAATTCATAGGGAAAAAAGATTAATGACGAAAAAATGAGGCTAAGAGGAAGACCTAGAAGAAGCTGGTTAGAAGAGTTGAAGATGAGACGAAGGGAGAAAAGAGAAGACACACGAAGGGGAAAAGGAACTGTGATATGTGAATAAATATCATTTCCTGATAATAATAGGTGGGACAGAAGAGAATATGTATGTATCAAAAAAGTTAATGTGTTTGTTATTTAAAGGTTTTTAGCAAGAGTAGTTTAGTCACTGCAATGGAAGGCTTCAAAACATACAATAATTAGTTTTTTTCACTGTTATGCAATAGTTATATCATCATGGGAAATAAAAACCCCGGACATTGTAATGTTTTTCAGTTTACCACTTATGGAAAACTTTTCAAAAACTTAATACAAATTTCTACTTTAACCATAGAAACCAAACGTATTATTCTCATTACCTTTCTCTAGAGCTGGGTTTGTCCACGCTTTATGAACTAGATGATTTTGCTCTTGATTCAGGGGAAGGTTTATGGTTAAGCCGTTATTTGCGAGTCCAGTAGGCAGGCTATGGTTACCTGCCACAGTTAGTGTATTTCAAGTTACCTGACGCAACCTGTCCGAGGTAGCCTGTCTGCCTACTATGGCCTTGTGTAAACATGGCTTTAGATTTGTAGACTAGACAAATCCAGACTATTTTAAGTGTAGACAATGGATTGGTGCACCTTTGTAAACTTAGGTTCACAATACGAACATTTTTAAGTTCTACGCATTTTTGACTGATGTTCTTGCTCTAGCAAACTGCTATTAAAGTTCCCACTTCATTTCTTTACTCACGTTGCAATTCCCTCATCAGGTTGTTCATTTGAGGATCCTCCTCAGCGGGAGAGGCCCATGGGTTGGAGGGTGAGCGGAAGAATGGGTCTTGGTGGAAGGGGGGAGGCACGAGGTCGTCGGTCAGAGTGAACTGGAACGGAGTTCTTCTGGGGAATGATCGCTGCAGAGGAACGTAGAAGAGGTCCACATCACCGTTGCGCTTGGGAAGGTAGTCATCCTTCTCCTCTGTTTCTTCTTTGTCACCCGGCCCTGGAAAATTAAGTTTGTTTGAGATCAATGAAATAATAAATACCACCAGAGGTGCTTTAAAGAACTGTAAATCATTTAAAAACTCAAAATTACTAGTCGTTAATGCAGTGATCTTTACGCAGCGAACTATAGTCTGTATGATGGACCCTGTCTCCTTACTCTCCGTCTACCTGGGACTGGCCCGGGCCATGTTGATCCATCAACACGATTTTAGTTAACATGGTAATAATAACTCCGATAGCGTACTGAACATATTTTATTCATTGAATAACCAAACCATACTTTGTGACTTGCGCAATAGTCATGATTATTTTTACACTTATTTATTCCTCATTAATCAAAGCTAAATGTTAAAAGGTTTGATAATTTCACTCTATTTATCACAGTTAGATGCGTTATCGTCAGCCTCAAAAGAAACCGTCGATTTTGGGTTCACCTAGTTACAACTAATTGTAAACAATTGAGCATTTTTTAAATCATTACTTTAAACTTAATAATAGTCTATTAGCCTATGTTCCATAAGAGAACACTGTATTTAAAGTAGGATTGGGGGCACGGGGGCGCACTTTAAACATATAGCCTATACAAATTTAAAGACCATAAAATTTGAGAACCTATAATTTACACCAAAAACTATCACAGATGTTATCATGAGACTTTAAAAAAAATCTATGTTTCGTATGTCGCAAATTATCAAAAACTCTCTCCTTGGAAATGCAATAATTACTTCACAACACCCACAAAGTAAGATAAACTCCACTATATTCAGCGTGGGCTAACCTGTGATGAGTCAACCTGCGTCACTCCGGATGTCACTCAAGGTCCATTTCAGTCCACTGTGGGATTTATATCCCAGTTTGGGGATATTTTTGGGTAAATACGGGATAAAATTGAATTATTTCGCAATATTTTCATAAAAAACTATATTGACCATTGCCCTTTCACTAAAAAATCTTGATTTGCTTGTTCGCCAATAAATGTAATTTTAAAAGAATAAACAAATTTCCAAAAATGTGGGAATTTAAATGCAAAAAGGGATAAAAAAAGATTTTCACGATAAGCTGTATACATTGTATTGTTGAAAGGAAGCAAGACCTTGCCATTATTGTTAGGGCTACAATAGACGTTTCGAAATCCAGCCGTGGGAGAGTAAAGGGTAAAAACCAATTGATTCCTTAATCTTTCAAGCATTTTTATATTTTAGCGTGAATGCAACTTACTCTTTAGTTGAACAATGCATTCTAAAACCGACTTAAGCCTAGTAAATACATATTTAAATTTGATTGGCAATAAGCGTACATAATTATAAGTACCGGTAGGTATATTTAAAAATGTATAAACAGATAGAAATAATGAACAGATACGTTTAGTTTGGGTTTAAGTTTGTTCTAGTTTCTAGTGAACCATGATTGCTTGAATCATATTTGTAAACATATAAGTTTCTCCTTAGATTTTTCATCTTTATGGAGCTAAAAGATTACAAGGCAAGTTTCTGCCCAGTCCATGCATTGTAAAACACTATAGATGTTTACTTTTCATTTCTAGTTATTTAGTAGGCCTTAAACAAATTATGACACAGTTAAAAAATAAACTGTCAATATAACAAGGTGCAGTTTAAAAGAATTAAATGGCTTCTGCCTTTTTCAGAGCGAGCTGGTGTGTGGTAGAGCAAGGGCTCGAATCCCAAGGTTCCGGGTTCAAATCCCGCCAATCACCAATGGATTTTATACATGTGATGATGCCGATCTGCATACTTGATCAAACAGAAAATACCTTTAAAATTTTTTAAAGTCGAATGATAAATCCAAGGAAGTAGGTTTGATCTGTTATTTTCGCAATAGTTTAGAATAACTCTTTTCACTAACATTCCTCTTGAAACAAACCCTCACGCAATATTCGCCTTGAAGCTTGTTTAGCTCGTGTTAAACATTCCTTGCTAACACCGCCACACCTTCGCTAAGAGAACACAATGCTAGCATTACCCATGCTAAACATCCACTCTTATGTAAGGCGTCAAACACTTCGAGACGTGAATGTTTAATGTGTCTTTGTTACAAGCCGAAGTTTATCCTGCCAAAACATAAACAAGTTGGAACTGATCCAGCATTGGTTAGCATTCGACGGTTTACGAATCACAATTTTGCAAGTTTGTTGAAACATTTTGAATCATTTCTATTTTTACAATTGTGCATGCGTAAGTAATTTGTTTGGTAAGCCAGCTTTTATTGTGACATCCCTTTTTTCTGTCCCACCTCCACATCATAGGACTGTTTTACACATTACTCCAGCCTAATCCTAGAGGGTCGCGGCCTTATCACATTGATAAAAATACATTTGTGATTGGCGATATTTGAACCCGAGGCCTCGGGTTCCGAAGCCCCGAGCTGTACAACAAGACCAGCTCACTCCCCCGATAGTAGTCAGCTGGTAGTAGCTTTTTTGTGGCAGCTCTCTCTACCCATGCTTGACCCGCTAATATCATTACATCAACAGTAAAGATCAGATGGATGACCATTAGGGTGCCGAGTCGGCGTAGTAAAAAATCCAATCTATAAGTTCACAGTAATTATTCAGCTTATTACACTGTGACTACTGTTCGTTCCTTAATTATAAAGACATTAATACGATTTTGACCAAAATTCATATTAGTAAATGTTGTTGCTAGTAAAAGTACAATCCTATGTAAACAATCAGTCTGACCTCCAAATGGAGTACAAGGTTTCTAGCATCGTTTCTAGCGACACGACTGTTATTCCCATACTGTTATTCCAGGTATTCCATCTATGCTGGCATTCCCATTTCACACTGCTACACAATTGTACAATGCCATTACTAGGAATGATGATATTGTTCCGTTTAATCTGCCTACCTTATCTAAATGTAGGTAAAGTTAATTAATTGACATTGTCATGTGCACGCCATGATGACGTACTAAAAATGTGTACTTTAGAAGGATAAAAAATCTTGCAACGCGGAATTAAAACATAGAAGTTACGAAGGGTATGTCATAGTGGTTTAGTAGTAAAAGTGCGCGACTGTTTTTAAGAGGCCAGGATAAAATCCAAGTAATAACTAAAAACATGTGAATAGCGTGACCCTTTTATAGTGGTTCTCACGTAGAAAATAAATTATATGTATCCAGGTGAGGAGAACTTTCTCTAAAGTGAAGAACTTTATTCACTCAAAGCCATTAGATAAATTAATAAAAAAAAACAATGACAACTCACTATATTTATAACAGCTCTATTTAACCTTTTAACCCAGCAAGATAGTCTTTGTCAAAATAAACGTCCAAATGCATTATCAGATGTTCAATTTATTAGGGGGAAACCTGACAGCACAAAATCCATAAATTATTAGGTAAACAAAATCACCAAAATACTCTGGTATTTTGCAAAAACTTTACGTTAACTCAGCAAGATAAAAGATATAGAAGCGTTGAAAGAGTTGAGAAAACAGAAACACACAAATACAGTACTCAATCACATTTTCAATCAAGTTATGGCGTCCCCATCTTATGGTAATTGATATAATTGATTGATTAATTGATACATGTTGGTTTTTAAGAGAACCCTCCCCCCTGGTTGTTAAGATAAAGATACGGAGTCTTCGTAATAATCAGATGCAAAAATGCATCATCAAATTACCAATCCATTTTGTGCTAATTAGGGAAACCCTGCTGTTTAGAAGGCAATAAACGAATAAATCAAAATCCCAATGACGAATCGGGAATCACTAGTCATTTTAAAAGCTTAGTATAATCTTTAATCAGCAAGATTAAAAGAAACGGGGGATTTTAAGGATACTATAAAGGAGAGGATAAAGAAACGTCCAAATACGCATCTCACAACGTTCAAATACGCATCTCACAACGTTCAAATACGCATCTCACAACGTTCAAATACGCATCTCACAACGTCCAAATACGCATCTCACAACGTGAACGTTCAAATCCGCATCTCACAACGTCCAAATACGCATCTCACAACGTCCAAATACGCATCTCACAACGTGAACGTTCAAATACGCATCTCACAGCGTTCAAATACGCCATCTCACGTGTTCAATCAAGTGTTGTGTTGGTTGGGGAAACCCGGCTGAGACCAGTTACCAGTTAGTGATGGTCAGTGTGATCAGTTGACCTTGAGAAGGTCACGGCTTCGGTCACTGAGTACAACAAGAACACGGGTTCTGGACGCTTCTTCGTCTTAGTATTTGTTCAGGTCTAATCTGGCATTATCAGCTGTTGTGGAAGGAATTTAAGGTGTGCTGTGACAGGTCTACTTTAAAAGGGTACAAAATAGGGGGTGTGGCAGAGGGTTGGTTTAGACTGTGGGGAAAAACCACTCAGGATATAGGCTAAAAGGTATATTTAAACTGCTGTAAACCGCTAGTGTTGCCAACAATTAAAGATTTTTACATATTTTATATACTCAACGGGATAGTAGGACATACATTTGATTATAAATCTAAAAATCTGTGCGTTTAATGATACATAAACAAAAACAACTAGTGAATTAGGCTCAACATAGATTAGGGAGTTGAGACAAAGTATGATTGTATATTTGGAAGAAATAATATAATTCATTATGAAACCATGAAACTACTCTGGTCACATAAAATGTAGGTGCTCAAGTCATATATTTTATTTTCAACCTGTTTGGCTTCTCGTTTCGCGCTAGTGACGAAGTTATAATATGAATCGCCTTGATGAGTGCTGAACAACAGTGCTGTTTTATAATTTTGAATCACCATTAGTAATGCTTGAGTTAATCACTTTTCAGTTTCAAGTATCACCTCCCACATAGTCACTACAGTAACAGATAAGTTTAACTGTCTATTGTGCGCGGTGTTATGATGATAATCAACGTATAACTATTGTTCAGTCTTACCTCATGTACTAGAATCTAGATTACTTGGAATATTACAAACTGGAAAGAGTTGAGTCATTTCGACTCATTCCGTTAAGTATGTATGCAATTGAGACTGGGAAAGGAATT